GCGCCTTGGCCTATGTACCAGGTGAGAGCCTCGTGCTGTGCTGCTCACCCTGCACAGGGCCTGGGTGTGCATGTGCAGGCCTGGTTCCTGAGGACTGAGGTGCTTAATGGACATTCTGCCCTTGGAAAGAAGGTGCTGGGATGTGTAGGGAATGTTGGCTGCAACTTGTCAGAAGCTCTGCAGGCAGCTGGGATCTCCGAGGGCACTTACAGGCTGTGATCGTGGTGCCATCCAGATGAGCACTGGGAGAGCTGACCCTAGCAGGGCAGGGTGCTGCAAACTTCCTCTAAACACCATCTCAATTTACTGTTCTCTCTGTGTGCAAGGGCCTCCTTGTGTCCTCTGTTGTCTCGAGATGCGTGTAACTGTGTACGATGGGCAGACAGTTGCTGGCTCCTGAGATGGAGTGAATCTCACGTGGATCAGGCTGGGCTTCCCTCATGTCTGGGGTGTTCTGATACAGTCAGTTAGCTCCCAAAGCTTTAATCTGAATGGGGTTGATGGGAGGTTGAGAAGGGGTGAGAAGAGCTGCCCCTCACGAGGAGCTCATGCACAGTCTCTGTTTGCAGAATTCTTCGCTGATAATCTGGGTGACTTCTTCATTTTCCTGCGGCGTTTTGCTGATGACATCTTGGAGACGTCCGCGGATTCCCTGGAGCACATCCTTCACTTTGTCACTGTGTTCATGGGTGATGTGGAGAGGTACGTACAGCTGCGTGCGAGCCCTGTGTGCCTGCAAAGCTCCCAAGGGGGACTAGGAGGGGAGGCTGCAGGAGAGGCACTGGGGCTTGGTTCAGGCAGCCATGAGTGGGTTTATCCCTTTGGAAAAGCTCAGTCGTGCCTGTAGGAGGTACGGGGGATGCGGCCCTGCCTGAAGGAGCCAGGTGTCACACGAGGTGTAGATGGAATTCAGTGTCTGAATATTGTTTGGTCATATTCCACGGGAGCCCCATCAGCTCTTTGGTCCTTGTTAGAGGAAGGCACTGGGATTGATCTGTTTGGAGTATCTCTGTGGAGGCTCCTGAGCAGGACTGAGCAGTGGTATCGATCCTCCCGCTACGACACCGCCGCACACACTGCATTTCTGCCCTCCTTTGTTTATTGTCCTGTGTAAACACAGCAGGGTCCCGGAGGCTTCACTTGGTTGGCAGCTCCTGCTCCTCCCGCTGCCCCTTCCTGCCTTGGGCGGTAGGTTTGGCTTCTGCTCCATGTGTGTGGCAGACAAGAACTGTACCCTCAGCTCAGTGATTTGCACTGGGCAGGAGGTGAAGTGCTTTGGATTTGCAGAATAAACGAGGAGTTTGCTAAGGAGCAAACAAGTCTGTGTGGGCTGTGAGCTGTTCCCACTGCCAGAAAGCTGCTGTGGGAGGGATGGAAGCAGCAGCTTTGCCATTCCCACACCCTCTGTCCTCCCTGCCTGGTTTAACTGTGGTATTGAGCGCATGCCTTTGCCTGTGGCTCTGGTATTGAGAGTAAGCTCTGGACACCAGCATTAGCTTTACAGACAGTCCACAGCAGGGTGGCACTCCTGCAGGGATGGGTACAGCTCCTGATTGCACACCCTCCTGATGTGCTGCATTTGCTCTGTTCCTCTGGCAGGATGAAGAACCCCCACCTGCGAGCCAAGCTGGCAGAAGTGCTGGAAGCTGTGATGCCTCACCTGGACCAGGCGCAGAGCCCACTCGTCTCGAGCGTGTTCCACCGCAAGCGCGTCTTCTGCTCGTACCAGAACGCTGCCCGCTTGGCCGAGGCGCTCATCAGAGTCTTTGTGGATATCGAGTTTACAGGTGAGCACCAGAGGGAAGAGCTCTTCCCTCTGCAGCAGCTGCAGGGGGAGCGTCCCCAGGGTTTGAAATGGATCTGTCCTGGCTTTAAGCTGCTGGGCTGCGTCAGGCCTGCGGCACTGCAGCCCAACGTTGGGATTCCCAAACTTCTGGCTTGTGCAGAGCTGTGCACACGGAGAGGATAACCTCCGGGGCTCAAGCTTTGCAGCTTTGCAATGCTGTAGCATTGGGTTCTTGCCTGTCCCCTTCTAGAGTGGGGTTAGTTGTGCTGTGCCTGTGCCCAGTGCTGTGTGGAAAGACATTTCTTTACCTGTGCATAGGTGATCCGCACCAGTTCGAGCAGAAGTTTAACTACCGCCGCCCCATGTACCCCATCCTGAAGTACATGTGGGGCACAGATTCCTATCGGCAGAGCATAAAGGTGAGGCAGGAGGGCATTGGGAAATGCGTGCGTGCAGCTCCGTAGGGAGTGTGCCGGCCTGGGTTCTCCCATAGCGCTCAACACGTGCTCCTTCCTTCCAGGCTCTGGCTGATTATGCCTCAGAGAACCTGGAGGCAATGAACCCCCCTCTCTTCTTGCGCTTCCTCAACTTGCTCATGAACGATGCCATTTTCCTGCTGGATGAAGCCATACAGGTAGGGCTGAGCATCCTGAAGAGGGGCTCAGGGGCTTTATCAGATCCAGCATGAAGCATGCCTGGGGAGTCGCAAGGAAGTTTCCCTGCTGCTCATCCGGATGCAGACAGGCTTTGAACAACCTCTGGGGGTTTTGAATATCAAATCCCCTTGGACACGCTGCAGGTGTGATCCTGACAAAGGCCCCTTGCCTCCAGGGTATTCTCCTTTGGGTTTATGAGGTGTTCCCATGGTGCTGGCCCAGTGCGGGACAGGGCTGGCTTTGCCACCACTGCCCGTTTGCCAGCCTGTTCTCCCAGCTGCTTCCCTGCCCTGTCTTTGCAGTACCTCAGTAAGATCAAAGTTCAGCAGATCGAGAAGGACCGTGGCGAGTGGGACAGCCTGTCCCCGGAGGCTCGCCGTGAGAAGGAGTCCAGCCTGCAGATGTTTGGTCAGCTGGCACGCTTCCACAACATCATGTCCAACGAAACCATAGGCACACTGGCCTTCCTCACCTCCGGTAGGGAGAGCAAAAACCCCTGCTGGGAGCTGGGGCCCGGGTGGCTCTGGAGCTCAGGGAACCGCTGCTTTCTGTTCCAGAAATCAAGTCCCTGTTTGTGCACCCATTCCTCGCGGAGCGCATCATCTCCATGCTCAACTACTTCCTGCAGCACCTGGTTGGGCCGAAAATGGGAGCTTTGAAAGTGAAGGATTTCAGTGAGTTTGACTTCAAGCCACAGCAGCTTGTGTCTGACATCTGTACCATCTACCTGAACCTTGGGTATGTGATGGGAGAGCTGGTCCATGGGGTGGCAGGAGACATTCTGGGGACACTGTGGCTAGCAGAGGCCCTTGGTGGGCCTTTTGGCAGCATGCTGTTCTCTTCTGTAACAATCTTAACGTCAGTGACCCCAGGGAGTCAGATGCAGCCCAGGTGGAAGGGCTGGAAGCTAAACACTATCGTGGTTACATTCATACCGTGGGTCACTCTGGAGAGGACCTGGCGGAAGCACTTCATTGCAGTCAGGCTTTTCTCTAGCTTTGAGTTCTCTGCTGGGGTAGTGCTGCTGCCTTGGGGGCTGCATTTTGCAGCCTGATACACGTGGATTCTTAAACCTTTGCTCTCTTCCCACCTGCGGCCCAGGGATGAGGAAAACTTCTGTGCCACAGTGCCCAAGGACGGCCGCTCCTACTCGCCAACGCTCTTTGCCCAGACCGTCCGGGTTCTGAAGAAGATCAACAAGCCCGGGAACATGATCGTGTCCTTCAGCAACCTGGCCGAGAGGATCAAGGTGGGAACCCCACTGAATTTAGGCACACTGAAAAGGAGGGACTGGCTCCTGATGTGGTTGTTCTGCCTGTGTATCCTTGTGTCTTGCTGTGGGGAAGGATTTCTGGGAACCAGGCTTTGTCTGAGGCTCCCATGGGGCAGCACACACCAGTAAACGCTTTAGCTGTGGGGCAGGAGCAAACCTGGGCCTTAAAGAACCAGGAGCCCCAGCGGCTGAAGGCTCGGCGTGTCCCCCAGTCTCTTGCAGACCGGCAGCAGCAGGAGGAGGAGACGTACGCAGATGCCTGTGACGAGTTCCTGGACCCCATCATGAGCACACTGATGTCTGACCCCGTGATCCTGCCCTCGTCCCGCGTCACCGTGGACCGCTCGACTATAGCCCGGCACCTCCTCAGGTACGCGGCGCTTGTGGAGGCCTGTCTCACTTGTCCCCTGCCTCCTCCTGGCCTCTCCTGCTCCTCCTTTTATTTCTAGCACTGGGACTGTCCAAATGATCCCCTCCGTGCTTTGTCTTTCAGCGATCAGACAGACCCTTTCAACCGGAGCCCCCTCACCATGGACCAGATCAGACCAAACACAGAGCTTAAAGAGAAGATCCAGCGGTGGCTTGCAGAGAGGAAGAAGCAGAAGGAGGAGCTGGATGATACGCTGAACTGAAAACAGGGATCCTGGCCCTAGACCTACAATCACTGACCAGATAAATGCCTCGTGGGGTAGTGGCTGGAGCTCCAGAGCAAGTCGCCACCTTGACTGAGGATGCACTATGTCAGCGTCAATCCTTGGACCTTCCCTTTCCTCCCTTGTTCTGTCTCTTCCTTTCGGGACTTACTGTTTAATACTACGACTTTCCACTGCACTACAGCTTTGAGCCTCTGCCTAGGGAAGAGCACAGCCTCTCTGCGTGTCCTGGGGCCCCGGCCCTCTCCCACTTGTTTTTTCCTAGCGACGCCAAAACCTTCCCCCTGTCCTGTTCCTTCTATGCCCATAGGCTCAGCGTGAAGGTGCTGCTGTCCCCAGGGTCAGACGTGGGGCGGGTGTGCCAACTTGTACATGCTGGTTCATTTCCCTGATGCCTGCTGGGGACAGAGGGGAGCTGGAAATTAAAGGTAGAGATGATATTAGAGCTGGTGCTGGAGTCTGGCAGCGGCGGGGCGGCCCTCGCTGTAGGACAGCCTAGTACGGGGCGGGAGCGGCACCCCCCGGGTCTCGAACTCGTGGCTCCAGAGACGGCGCGCCCCGCCCCGCGCACGTGGCCCGGGGGCTTTGCGGGCTGCCCGTGCAGGTGCCTGATTGGAAGGGGCGGGGTCAGGCGGCGCTCAGGGCAGCCGCGGCGGCGGGGGCCTGGGTGTGCGCGGTCGCGGCGGGGTGACATTGGGCCGGGGTAGCAACATGGCGCAGAAGCTGGTGCAGACCCTCAGCACCCGCGGGCCGCAGCTCCTCAGCGGTGAGCGCCGGGAACGGGGACGGGGGAGCGGGAACCGGGGGGGCAGCGAGCCGCTGGGTAAACGCGTGTTTCCCCCTCCCCTCTGCCGCAGCCGCCGTGGCGTACTCGAAGCCGCGCCTGGCCACGTTCTGGTACTACGCCAAGGTGGAGCTGGCCCCGCCGACCCCCGCCGAGATCCCCCGGGCCATTGACAGCATGAAAGCCGTGATCAGGGGCTTCCAGACCGGCCGCCTGGCGCAGCTCACCGTCAGGGTAACGGCGGGAGGGGAGCTGGGGGCACAGCACCGGGGAGGGACCGGGCACTGCTCCACAGCATCCCTGTGGCTCCTGCTGGGCTCTGAGCCCACGGGTCAGGCCGCTGCCTCCTCCTCCTCCCGTGTGTATAAGCCCATCCGCGCAGTGTGAGACAGGGCCCGCAGGAGCCATGCGTGCTGCAGTGGGCTTTGTCCGCACATGGCTGACCCTCCAAAGATGTGTGGTGGTTGGTGCCGGCTTCCAAAGAGCCACGTTTGTAAGGTAAATGTAAATGATACAAGATACACGTTTACATTTACCCTTTTTATTTTGCTCTGAGGAGGCTCTGCAGCCTCTTGAGGTCCTGCTGGCTGGATTCTGCAGTAATTCCTACGCCACACTGGCTCTGTTGGTGCCATGGAAACCAAGGGAGCTGCTCTCAAGAAGCTGCAGGAGCTGAGAGTTGAAGCAGGTTTTCTCTTTACTTTCAGGAAGCGGTGAGGAACGGGCTGGTGGCCACAGAGGTGCTGATGTGGTTTTACATCGGGGAGATCATAGGCAAGCGTGGCATTATCGGGTACAACGTCTGAAGGCTTGTCCTCAATAACACCGTCCTTGGGGCCATGTTCCCAGTCTATATTGGGGTGGGTGACAATAAAGCCAGAACCGGTGTTGAGCTGTCCTGATCCTTTGTGGTGGTTGGGGTTCTGGTTGTGCTGGTGGTGGAGACCGGCTCTGTGGAGCAGGAGTCTTCCAGGGCAAGCTGAGCTTGACCATACCCACCATCCTCGCACCAGCACGAGCTGCCCAGGAGCCCCCGAGGCTGTGTGTTCTCAGCCAGCTCCTATGTACAAACCCCGGTGCAGTGCCTGCTTGCTCACGTGTTTCCAGAAACTCCTATGCAGGAGGAGTACTCCCGGGCCAACAGGGTAGAACTTGCCTCCCTTTATGATCTTGGGAGATGATTTCCAGCTAGGGTTGCTCCTTGCTGATGCTGTTCTCAGGGCTGTAAGCTCAACTCACTGGTGCACCCACAGGCCCCAGCCTGGCTGCCCCTGAGTGCCCCTGATGCCTCGGGGACCGCTATTGTGCCAGTGGCACGGTGCTTCCTCTCCTCCCCACCACAGAGCTGACATCCTCAGCGCTTCACCCTAATAAGAGGCCCTGTGAAGTGCTGGCGAGTAACACAGGTGGGCTCGCAGCACCGTGTGTTGGGTGACTGGCAGGGCACCAGTGGCAAAGCTTTTCTGGTTGAAAAGAAGGGCTCCTGACACGGTTACGGTGGCTGACAAGTGATGGGGAAACCAAACGCAGAGGAACCCACCAGCTTCCATAGGTGAGTCTGCCACCTCAGTGTCCTGTGCCCACCCAGACCGCAACTTCAGTTGCGGCAGCAGCTTTCTGGTACCTGGGACTCACTGTGTGCTCCTGTTGCTCCCTTTGCTGCCCAGAACTTCGGGATTTCTCTTTCCCCTCTGAGGAGGTGACGCTTGGTGCAAATCTAACCAGGGCTGCAGCCTAATGACCTGCCTGAGCCCGCCAGACTGAGGGATGGCCCCGAAAATGGCACCTCACCGGGAGCTCTTCACTCCTCTCTTCCTAAAACCATTGCCCAGCAGGAAGATAACTGCCAGGCCCCTCAGCACAGGCAGGTGGCTCTTGATCAAGATGGACAGGGAGGATTTAAAGCATGATCTTGACTCACAGAAGGTTTCTGGACCAAGGAGTGACTCTGCCTGATGTTGCTCAAAGGCTGCCCACCCTGTGGGACGTGTTCTGACCTGTGCACTCCGCTCGTGGGGCGAACGGATGCGCACAGGCACTGGCGAGGGCTCTGCGCTGTGGGGTACGTCAGACTGCCTGCCCTGGGAGGACTGGGTTAAACCAGACTGGCAAAGCACGGCAGAGCCCGGGCACACTCCAGGCCTGGTCGAGTTCCCTCGAGAGACAGGCACAGTCCAGTTGGGATTTCCCTCCCTGAAGTCCTCGTGGGAAGCCCCCGAGCACCGCGGTCTGAGAGGAGCAGAAGCGGCACCTCTGAAGCCCGTGTCCTGCAGGAGCTCCCTGCCTGCCTCCGCTGCGCTCCGCCGGACACAGGTACCGCACGTTCCCAGACGGAGCGCTCTGTAACCGGTATCGGTGTGCTCCACCTCCCGCCGCTCTCCCGGGGCCGGCCCCGGCTCCGCACCGACCCGTGAGGGGGGGCTGCCACCGGGGGTCCCCGTACGCGGGACCCCGTCCGGGGCCCAGGGGGGGGTCCGCAAGGCTCTCGCCGGCGCCCCTCGCCCCATGCCGGGCTCGGGGCTATGGACGCGGGTGGCGGAGCCGCCTATGCCGTATGCGCGACCCCGGGTACCGGCTCCTCGCGCCCTCCCTCGGCATGCCCGCCGCGGTTATGCGGGCTGCTTGCGGCCCGGTATTGAGGCAAGCAGGTTCCGGGGCCCTCCAGAGAGGGGCCCCGCACCTGGATGGCCCTCTGAGATATGAGGTGCTGAGCCGACGGGAGACTGAGCTATCCAGAACGGGGGGCCGCGCAGGAGCTCGAGCCCGGGGCCCTGCATATCGCCCAGCGTTATGCCGGGCTAGCACCCGTCAGTAATGGCTTACCCAGGCGCCCGGGCGGCGGGATGGCGGGGCCCCGCAACCTGCATGGAGCCCGCTGTTATGCAGCATCTCTAAGGGCCGGCGAGGCGGTATTCAGGGCGCGGGGCGCGGCCCGGCCCCGCTCTCTGGCTCGTCGCCTCACAGTAAAGATGGCGCACAGCGGTCGGTGGCGCTTCCCTGCCCGGCCCGGCAGCGGCGGCTGGGGCCGCCGGGGGCTGGGAGGGTCCCGGCTGCGGGTGCCGGCCGTGCGGAGCCTGCGGCCCGCCGAGCCGACGGCGGCGCCGGCAGCGGCGGGAGAGGGAGAGCGCGGCGGCCCGTGCTCCGGCGGGGCGGCGGGAAGCGGGGGAGGCGGGGCAGCGCCGGGCTCCGGCGGCTCCGGGGGCCCCGCGGCCGGGGTGGGACCCGGCTTCGACGCGGCGCTCCAGGTCTCGGCCGCCATCGGCATCAACCTGCGGCGGTTCCGCGCGGCCTGCGGCGCCGAGGCGGGCAGCGGAGAGGTGAGATGGGGCGGCGGGGCGGGGGCGGGGGGAGGGCGCGGCGCGGCCCGCGGGTCCCGGCCCGCAGCATCCCCGCTCCGCGGCGGCGGCGCGGGCACACCCCCTGCCCGCACACCCCTGCCCGCACACCCCTGCCCGCGCCGCACGGACACACCTACCCCTACCGCGCCCGCGGGGCCCGCGCCGCCGCTCCCGCTCCCCGCACAAAGGGCGCGCCCCGCAGCCGCCGCCGCCTGCCCGCGGGCGGGGAGGGGAGAGGGGGTCGCGGGGGGAGCCCGGCGCGGCGGGCGGGAGCGGCGGGGGGTGGCGGGGGGGCACGGCCGCCCTCCGCCTCCGCGCAGCGCGGTCCCTCCCCGCGCACGCGACTTGCCGCCGGTGCGCCCTCCCCGCCGCCGCCTCCATTATCCTCCTCCCGCCGCTCCCTCCCTCCCTCTCCCGCGCCCCCCGCGCGGGGACGGACGCGCTTCCCCGCTCCCGGGAGGTAGGACGGGGCTGGGGGGTGGCGGCGGCCGCGCTGCCCGCGGGGGGCGATGCGGGGCCGGGTGCGCGTCTCTCCCGGTTGCAGAGGATGCTCGGCGGGGAAACGCGGCCTTCCCCCGGGGCAGGCGGCGCGGGGGGACCGCGGGCATCCTCCCCTTGGCGGCCCGGTGCGGCGGGGCCCGGGGCAGTCATCGGCCGCGGCCACCCGGAGCGCTGGCTGCGGCTTTCCTCCTTTTTCCTCCTTTTTTCCCCCTTTTTTCCCGTAGTTGCTCCTTTTCCTGCCTTCATCTTCATTTTAATTTTTGTCCAAGCCTTTCGAAGGCAGCCAGAGCAGGAGTCTGACAACAGCCCACCCACTGACAGCACAGGGAAGACATGATGGGGGTGTGTTGCTTACTACAAGCTGCAGCACTGCTTTCCCCCAGCCCTCGCTTTGCATCACTTGTTAGCTGCGTCCTTGCGCCAGCACGAAAATTCCCAGGGCCTTTGTGGCAGGAGCTGTGTTGGTTTGTTCAAGGCCAGGTCTGTCTGTTCTTCTCAGGCAGGTTGTCAGCTGCAGAGTGGGAGAGCCTGTCTTTGTTGGTGTTTTGCTGGTTTCAGGAGCACTTCCTTGGTTTCTCTCGCTGGCCATATCAGAGTTTGTTAAATAAACTTTATTTATTAAAAATAGAGGTCTCTGTGTCTCAGCCTGGTTTGGGTGCACGCTGCTGAGTGCTGTGCAGTGGAGTTGCTCACCTGTGGCTGAGCTGGAGTCACTCCTGGGCTGCAGAGTTCTGGCTGCAGTAGTGGGTTGGCTTTGCATGCCCAGGACTGGTCCTGGAGCACTCGTCACCTTGGTGCCCACCCCTGCCGATGTCACCTGGAGCTGCCCTCCCCAGCCCTGTTACCCAGAGCCCGGGTCTGAAGGGCTGCAGTTTAGAGCACTTGTGCAGTCTCTGTCTGCAGTAGACTGGGTGCAGTGAAACTTATCAGGTCTGCTTGAAAGTAGTCAATGCATCTCCAGCGCTGGTTCAATGGCAGAAATGACTGAAATCCGCCAACCAACCCAACCACAGAGGTAACACATGCGAGGGGTTGGGGGCAGGCGAGCTGTTTTTTTCTTGCACTGGTTGCTTGGGTTTTACTTTAATTCCAGTTGTCTTAAAGCGGGTTTTTTGCATCTCAGAATCCCTCTCAAACATTTTCAGAAGGTCGGTGTGAGTTTGGCCTCTGGGGCATCCTTGCTTTAAAATAGCATCAGTACATTCATGGTGCCAGCAGCTGATGGAGACAGGGTCTCTTGTATCTGAAGTAGTTTATTTCTTGCATTGCTTTTTTAGTTAGCTGCTAAAATCTTCTAATAACATGACATACAGTGGAAAGTTATGCTCATGTCTTTGTGGCTTAGTGTCAGCAGATTGAGCTTCATCTGCGCTCTCAGGAGCGGGGGAAAGGGGAAGACCCCAGACCTTTCCCTCACCCCAAGTTTGCAGTGTTCTGGTATCCTCGGGGGCACATTCAGATTCAGTTAGCTCACCAAGCTGATTTCTTTCCTTGGGTGATGCTCAGGAAATGGAGCAGTTTTGCACTGAAGGACCTCATTCTCCTGAGCATGACTGCATGTTTTGTAGTCATAGTGAAGGTGGCAGTGCTGCTGCTGGCCACCAGAAGTGGTAGGATGAGCTCTTCCCTCCTGCAGGGTGAGTGTGGAGGATGCAGAAAGAGTTCCAGCACATGTGGATGCACCCCTTAGGGGATGGGGCAGCTGAGCATTGGTGTTGAAATGGTGAAGTTCTGGTGCTGTGTGGTACCCTGCTTTGGGTGGAGATGTTCTTCTAGAAAGGGGCTTCCAGAAGACCCTGCTGACCAGGGCTCACCAGTCCTTTGAACAAGTGCCTGATGCTTGCACCGTTCTCTGTGGGGCTGAGGGCTCACCTGTGTAACTACCTGTTGCACTTGATCCTCATCCCGTCTCCTCAGATGTGTTGTGGGATGGAGCAGGCTTTGTTTCTGATGTAAAGGTACCCAGATTGTGGGGTGGGTCCGCATACTCCCAGATTTTGGGTGACACTGTAGGAACCCCTGGCTGCAGCTGCAGCTCTGTGTGTCACTGACTTATCCTGAAACCAGCTTGCTTTAAGGGAGCAACATTACGATACCTGACTTCGGCACCACAGGATTTGGGGTGGGAGGTGGTGGCCTTTTAGCACAGTAAAGCTGTAAGTAAGTGGTTGAACACAGCAGCATTTGCACTGTGTGTCACCCTTTCTGCTTGATGTGAGTGGCACTTCCCAACAGGGGACATTTGGCTGTGCTTTCTTGATTTGTTACATCAATATTTGGTATAGAAGCAGCTTGTGCATCACTGTTAGATATCTGCTGTGCCTGTCAGTTGAGAGCTCCCTTCCCGCCTCTCAACTTTAATTGAAGCTTTGGGACATAAAAGCTGAGCATGTTGGATGCATGTTGACAGTTTACTCCATAAATCTGCATCGGCTTCAGAGCTGCAGGGACGTGAGGTTTGCAGCGGAACGCAGTGGCACTGACAGTGTCTGTAGCAGCGCTGCCGCTGCTGCAATTATACACAGCTCGTAATGTTTTACGAGGTGTGTGTTGGAGTCAGGGATGTTCACCCATGGCTTGTTTTGAGTCGGTACCAGATCCATGTGCTGGGAGGAAGGAGTGGCTTCGCTCCTGCCATGGTCACGCCTCAGCTGTGAGTGCTGATACTCCCTTTCCTCTACAGGCATTACAGTTTTGCTGCCTGCTCCCAGAGTCCCTCTCCCGGCTGATGCTGAGCAGCTGCTATGAAACCACCTGGTGCTCAGTCTATGATGTTGTGGTGCTGAGCCCTGCCTAGGACTGCATGCACATGGGGAGGGAACTGCCTGTAAGCACTGATGTAAAACCAGAGGCATGGTGCAGGCAGTATGGACCATGGCCCCAGAGGTGGAGAGCTCCTGCATGCTTTTTGTTCTTGCTGAAGACTCAGGTGCTCCTTTGTCAGAAGCGTGAAAATAAAGTGCATGTTTTAACCATCCCGGCGAGTGTCCACCATTCAGGCAGCATTGCACCATATGGGAAACTCTCGGGAGTGGTTTTGTGAAGATTTTGGGGGTAAGGAGTGTGGGGTTCCCTGTGAGAAGCTGTTCTCTGGCAGTGGTGTCACTGGCGGCAGTGATGGGCAGGTGAGGTGGTTTCAATGCACATTGACAGGTTTGCGCCAGGGGCTTTTTGGCACTTGGGTTCCTGCAGCTGGAAGCACAGGACAGCCACTTGCTGTGGTCAGTCCCCTCAGGTCACAGGAAGTGAATTCACAAACCTTAAGGACGAAGGATACCATGAAATTCCCAGAGAGGGGCCAGCTGTTCCCCACTGAGCCAAGCTGCAGAGCAGAGCTTGACTGTACCACCGCTTCTGTGCTTTGCTGGGGGGATGCATTTCTGTAGGAGAGGAAGATGAGTTTGGCACTCTTGCAGATGGCTTTTAATGCATCGATACAACAACTTTAAGGCATATCCGAAGTTTTGCAACCAGCTGTTTCAATGTGTTGGGCAGCTTTGTTACATCTGCCTTAATTTAGCAGCAAGCTCTAGAAAACTTTCTCTTTCTTAGTTATCCAAGTCTGCGTGAAGTGTTACTTTCTAACTGTCTGTTACAACCCAGGAGAGGCAGATTACAGTTGCCAGGGCATGATGTTGCCAGTGATCTCTTAGAAGAGGTTGGGAAGCATTGGTCTTGCTTTGGTTACAGAATGAATCTTTCTATGTAACATTCTGGCTGACCCTATTCCTTGGAGGTGGTATTGAAAGCTTGTTGCAACCAGCCTGAGACTGTTTTCAGTGCTCTAAAGAGCATCCCAAAGCGTTCAGAGTGGAAATTGTAAATGGCAATTTCTCATCCAGGGGACGACCAGCACTGTGTGGAAAATGGGGACCAGCTGCATTCGGTTAGTGGGCTGCTGCTGGTGACTTGGCTGGTGGGCAGGGGTCTGGCTGGTTGTAAGCTCTGACACTGGGTGTCCTTGATGTCCTGGCAGATGAAACTGCTCTGCATGCTTCGTAACACTGCCAGGATGGGCATACAGTGCTTCAGCCCCGTAAAGAGCAGTTCTTCCTAATCCTGCAGTCGAGGGAGCTCATTCAGGAGGCTGCAGCCCTCCTCATGGTTGTATTCTCATGGTGGATTGTCAATGGTACACTGCATGGCAGCAGCAGGGTGTACCTGCCCGTTGGTGCAGTTTGGGATGGTTGTGTGGCAGTGACCAGGTGAGAGCTGCTCTGTGCTCTCAGGACACACTGTGCATGCAGGTCAGCATTGTGTCGGTGTGAAGGCCCTGCAGAGTCGTGCATCGCTGCCATTACTCCTGTTCAGAGCTGTCCTCTAATGAGAAACTGAGAGGACGGGCAAACCCTCAGCCAGGTCAGTACCCAACAATAACCCCAAGTGCTCCACTGCTCCTTAGAGACCCTGCATCGTGAGCAACCGCTTGGGAAGCATCTCCTGAGCTCCCAGATGATTGTTCCTGACACGAGCATAGTGCACGTCCAGCATTTATCTCAGGGTTACTAATTGCCAACCTCCGAGGACGTTTACCCTGCTGAAGGAAGAGGAGTTTGTTCCATATTGTGCCGTAGTTACCAAGCAGGCTTTGGAGCGAGCTGCTATAAATAGCTTCTCTCTTTCCAAGAAGATGTGTAATTGGGGCCAAACCCAAGATGGTGAACGGGAAGAGAAGTGCAGGATTGCTCAGACGACTCTTGTAGAACTAAACAAACCTTTTCAAGAGCCGATTGAACAGCTCCATTGCTGCTTTAGTGCTTTTGACAGCTTTGAGGACAGTTCTGTGCAGCTATGCGCACCTGCAGTGGTATGGGCTGCAGTGTTACTCCACAGACACAGGTTGAAACATCAGGCAGTGCCTGCAGGATAGTTTCTTGCTTGAAGGTGGGTTTTCCTCTGAGATCTGTAGTTGGAAATTCTCTGAAAAGTAGGTTTGCTCAAGAAGGTTGCAATAGAGATGTGCTTGCAACTTTTCTGTTCTAGTAGCTGGGCTGCTGCAGTGAAAGCCCTTCTTCATCTGCTCGCAGCTTTGAGGTCGGGTAATGTTTGGGTAGGAGATAAAGGTGGAAGCTCTGCTGCCCATGGAGGGATTGACCCTTGCCTGCTTTGTTGGGCTTCATGTCTTGCACCTGAGGCAGACCTTATCTCATCTGTTTATGTATCATCCCCAGTGACCTTTTTTGTGTTGCATTATTCTTTCTCAGGTAAATGAGGTCACGCTCAAAATCATTATGGTTTTTAATCACTTGCCATCTGTCAGGCTTTATAGTCACTTCTGGAAAACCAGAGGGAGGATGTTCCTGCTTCCTGTGCCTCAGAACTGTGTTTGACGTATGATGCTGGCTCGGTGGCCTTCTCTGTCTTCCCTGATGTGTTCCAAGGCTGCCCTCTCAGGTGGTGACTTGAGGTCGTCGGTACAGTCAGGAACAGCACCCAGCAGATGTGAACAATGTACTTGCCATGCTACTTGTAGTTGCAAACAGAGCCAAAGGGAGGCTTTTGTGGAGGGAGCTGTTTCACTGTAGGCAGTTCTGGTGGCTGCTCAGTAGAAAATGATAAAAAATGAGCATTCCCAGGATATTGGGCCAGGGATGGGGATTCCTCCTGTTGAAATCACAGTGGGCACTCACCTGCCTTCAGGCCCAGTGTTGTGTTCTGGACAGAAGAGCAGTGAGCAGAAAATACACTTGTGTGGCATGAAAAAGGCATTTTTGGACACCAGACTGGCAGGTCCCTACTTCAGGTGCATCCTCGTTCCCAGTTGCACGCAGTCAGCCCCTTGCAGCTCTGTTGTTAGATGGGAGGTTGCTTGCATTTGCAGCTAGTGAGGCTCTGTTGAATATTGCTCTTGATTACCAGAAGTTTGCAGTTGTTGGCCAAGTGTGAGCATTTCACACGCACTTGAGTTGGGCGCCAGGAACTGATTTTAGTGTAAGGGATTATTATTTTAGATGACACTGAACTTGCCTCTCTGGGCAGGGGTGGGCTCTTGCTCAACCTTGGAAAGAAGTCTTTGTGTCTGTTACTCTTCCTGAAAAGCATTTGTTTGCTTTAGTGTTTGGTGGTTTAAGTCATGTGCTGGAAACGCAACGAGTCCTTAGAGCCGAGTACAGCGGCGTTGCGTAGGGAGGGCTCTGCGTCTCGGGTGTGCTTCTGCTGCCCTTGCTTACCGAGCAGTCTGTAGGGTTCTCCTCCAAGGGGCTGTACGTGTGCCTTGAGAGGCTTCTGCTGGCAGCAGTGATTTCTGTGTTCTTGGGGGAGATGTGCTCGCCCGTGCAGGAGCTGGTTTCACTCGGCATGTCTGCGTGCCCAGTGTGCCCTGTGTGCACATGCTGCGTGTTTGGAAGGGCTGCAGATCTCGGTTCTGGCGGGCTAAGGAAGGTGAGTGGCTGCTCCTTTTGCATTCCTGACCTCGACTGTTGGTGGGCAGCCTGCTGTTCCCTGCAGCATCCACAGCATTCGGCCCGCTTCAGCCCCAGTTTGTCTCCATCACCAGGCTCTCCCCTTGGCAGTGCTGGGGACCCTTTTCCTTCTTGCTGTGGGGTTGTAATTGCAGGATCAGCATTGGGGAGCGGTGGTAGGGAAAGGTCTGGGTGGGTGTCTTTGTAATGTGAGGATCCTGGTGTAGGAACAACACATTTTGGCGTGATTTTATTTCTTTTGCATGACTTTGTCATTGCTTTTTCACATTTCCTGGGCATTGCTGCTGCACAGCACATGCTGATAATTCCTTACAGGGATGATGAACTGCATTATCTGTGCTGAAAACTTGAATGGCTTCTGTTCAGGCTATTTACTGTATTGGTATTGTTTGAGGCTGAGAAACTGTGTCTTGGGCCTTGCTGCTTTTTACTTCTTAGACACAGGTACAGGTCTCTGTGCGTGTATTTTAATGTCCCTAAACTGTGCTTTCAGTAGCAAAGACTCTCCTCGTGGTCCATCCTGGAGGGAGATGAACTGGAAATGTCATGTAGAAAGCAGAGGCAGAAGGCGGCACTGTTTTGCCAAAGTGTTTCATCAGCTGCTCCAGGAAAGGTCATTTCTTTACACAGCTCAGCTTCTCCTATTCAGGATGTTGCACCTTTTTGCTTTCAGGATGCTGTTTCTGTAACAACTTGAGTCCACACGGAGCCCTGAGAGGAGCCAGTGCTGCAGTAATAACTCTAGCACGCAGCCAGGTTGACATCTTGCTTTAAAGAAGCAAGCAACAAGTGACATCCCTGATTTAAGAGTTCAGAGGCAACTTAATGCTGGCAAACATGACACTGGAGGTGAAATCAGACTGGGAGAGCTGGAGCAATGTACAAACAAAACCATATCACAAATTCTGGTGGCAGATGAGCAGGATTGACAGTTTTGCACCCTCCCTGAAAAACCTGTCTGAATGTGAGCAGAGTGCCTTTAGTGTCCGAGGGAAGAGCTCTGTGGTGAAGTCAGATTCACATCTCTCCTGAAGACAAAGCCTGAAGTGAATTAAAGAAAACCCCAACCCAACAACAGAAACCACTTTTCTTGTAATCAAGGGTCAGTTGTTAACATGAGTGCCCTTGATGTTCCATGTGGCTACTAATTTCATTGTTCTTTGAAATACAGCTAGTAAAGGTTGTGGCCCCTGAGTAAGAAATGCTTTCCTAGTGGTGACTTTGCTGGGAAACACAGGAGAGGAAGCACCCTGTGGTGCCTCTGGGAGAAGGCCTGCTCTGCCATCTTACCAGCTTGTGGTGTTTCTAGTGCTGTTTAGTGCTGTGACGTGCTCTGACTCCTGGGGTGCATGAGTAAAGCCTGCATTTGGGGATGGCTCTGCCTTCCCATCAGTAGCTTTGCCCTAACTTGTTCCTTAGCCAGGCTTGGAGGCTCTTGTGTGGTGGAGCCGATGGATGGGATTCATCAGGAGACACACTGACCTCGGGAGAGTCCAAAAAGGCCCTGAAATCATGCAGTTTCCTTCCAGAGTCCATAAGCATTGAGTTATAAACCTCAGATGCTTCTGCTCATCCAGAGAGGCTTTTGCACAAGTTTGGAGGAAGTTGGTTGACATTTGTACTAGAAAAATAAACCTGGAGACACTTCCTTGGCTGGAGTATGTCTTCAGGGCAGTGTGATTAATAGCTTGGAGGAGGAGGCCTTTGTGCTTTGATATGAGCAGCAGATTTTGTGCATTAAGGGTTTGTTTTCATATATACTTGCCCTTTGTTTCTTTTTGATCGTTCTGTAGCAGCTTTGTACATACATACATACAAAAGTTGTGTTTCCTCTTGAGCAATTGTTTGGTAGAAGAACAAATGCCTGTGAATGTCACTGGGGGAGGGAAGATCCCCTGGAATGCTTTCGTGCTTTGATCGCAGTGGAGTTCGTTTCCATGTTAATAGCCACATCTTCAAATTTGCACCCGCTTTCTCATTGCAGGATGAACAGTTTCTAGGTTTTGGTTCAGATGAAGAAGTCAAAGTGCAAAGTCCCGCCAGGTCCCCCACAGGTACGTTCAAGGGGCAGGATGGGAGGTTGACTTGTGTGTTCTCCTTTGTGATGGCTTTGCTGTGCCTGTCCTGTCCATTCCATCAGATCTGACCCACTGTAAAAACCATACCTGTCTTTGGAGTCGACTCCCTTGGTTTCGGACTCTGTTACGGAACAGGGAAACTGAGTCAAAGAGTGTTATTGATGAAACCAGTGCTTGAAATCTCATGTGAGTGTTTTGGAGAGGCTTTTAATAGTAAGGATCTAAAACTGGTTTGAGTATTTCAGTATCTTTCAGTAGACTCATTGTTGCCTATAACTGGAACCTTTGCTTTTTTGGATACAAAACGAGTACAGAACTCTTGAGGATAGGCTGTAGCTAAGCTGCTGCATTTTCAGCTTTCAAGAGGTAGGCTCAAACCATGAGACTGCTGGTGGATGAGTTCAGCTTTGATTTAGGTTCTTGTCAATAAATGCTCTCACCGCAGCTCACTGCTCATTCACAGTGATCTACGTGGCTTGGCCTCACCAGAGAGGAGCCTGTGGAGAGCCCTGCTCGCAGGGTGTTTCATGTGAAGAACTATGCCTGTGGTCAGAGCTCTGGGAGCACCAGAGCTACCCAGGGGTAGCTGGGCTGGGGAAAATGACTTTAAATGACCTGGTAAGGGTGTCTTGCACATCCGCCTGTGAGTCCAAGTCAATGCCAAGTGCAAACTGTGTTGCAAAGCTAAAAGTAGGGTAGGTTTTAGTAAATTGCTTTGTATCAGCCCCTCTCTTTAGTTGTTCTTGCGTTACTGACCCATCTCTCAGTAGTGCAGATGGATGGTACTAGAGGAGAAGGATTTTTTTTTTCCCCTCCAACTAGCCGTCATCTGCTTAAAAAAGAAAGAACAAAAAAAAATATCTTTTAATGTGTTTGAAAGATGGCACATGCCCTTGGGAAGTGTTGTTCCCTTTCAACGTTAGGTTGAGAGGAGGTTTGTGCTATTGCACATATAGCTTTGTGAAAAGGCAGAGAAGTTTGTTGGGAAACTTGTTCCCAACCTTGTTGGATTGTGCTCTTCAGATGTATTGATAAAACTGAGACTCATACGGGCAGTGTGACTGACGCTGAGTCCAGTGTGATGCGGGTGGTGCTGATCCGACTCTCGGGCAGTTTAACATATGCTCTGCATTCTCTGCTTCCCTTCCAGTTAAATCCAGTCCACGCAAGCCTCGTGGGAGGCCCCGGAGCAGTTCTGACCGGAGTTCAGCCGTGCTGTCAGACTCATCATCAGTGTGTTCCCCTTCAAGCAAGTCTGAAACCACATCTATGGAGAAAGTCAAGAAGAAGGAATTGAAGAGTGGGGAAAAAAGGCGAGGAAGACCTCCAACGCTTACAAGTGTGAAGTTCAAATTGTCACAAGTAAAGGACGCGTCGGACATTCAGAAGGGCAGCAAAGAGGAAAAAGAGAGTCTGAAGAAAATCAAAAGGTCACCATCCACTACATTTCAGCAAGCAACAAAGATCAAGAAGTTAAGAACTAGTAAACTCTCCCCACTGAAATCTAAATTTAAGCCCGGGGCAAAACTTCAGATTGGGAGGAAGAGCGTTCAGATCGTGCGCAGGAGGGGCCGTCCGCCGTCCTCTGAGCGTTTAAAGACGTCCTCCACCTTGGTCATGAACTCACAGCTGGAGAAGCCCCAGAGGATTCGCAAGGAAAAGGATGGCACACCACCTCTTACCAAGGAGGAGAAGACGGCTGTCAGGCAGAGTCCACGCAGGATTAAGCCCGTTAGGATTATACCTTCCACCAAAAGGACGGATGCCACGATTGCAAAGCAGCTTTTGCAGAGGGCTAAGAAGGGGGCACAGAAGAAGATTGAGAAAGAGGCAGCCAAGCTGCAGGGCAGGAAGGGCAGAACCCAGCTCAAGAACATCCGCCAGTTCATCATGCCGGTTGTGAGCGCGATCTCTTCACGGATTATCAAAACACCCAAGCGGTTTATTGAGGACGAAGACTACGATCCTCCCATTAAGATATCCAGACTGGAATCTACACCCAACAGCAGGTTCAGTGCCACGTCTTGCGGCTCCAGCGAGAAGTCCAGCGCCGCCTCCCAGCATTCGTCCCAGATGTCTTCAGACTCCTCGCGATCCAGCAGCCCCAGTGTGGACACATCAACAGACTCTCAGGCTTCCGAGGAGCTGCAGACGCTTTCTGAGGAGCGGAGCAACACTCCAGAGGTCCATGCGCCGCTGCCTGTTTCTCAGTCCCCCGAAAATGATAACGGCGATAGGAGAAACAGGAGGTTTTCGATAACAGAAAGAAGTTTTGGCCAGAGGACTACTAAAAAGCTGTCGGCCTTGCCCAGCGTGCCACAGCAGCAGTCCTCCTCCTCTCCTCCTCCCCCCCTGCTCACTCCTCCACCACCACTGCAGCCCGCTTCCAGCATCTCGGACCATACTCCCTGGCTGATGCCTCCCACCATACCATTGGCCTCCCCCTTCCTGCCCGCTTCTGCCGCGCCGATGCAAGAGAAACGTAAGTCAATTCTGCGAGAGCCGACGTTTAGGTGGACCTCCCTGAAGCATTCCCGTTCGGAACCACAGTACTTTTCCTCAGCAAAATATGCCAAAGAGGGTCTTATTCGCAAACCGATATTCGATAACTTCAGGCCCCCGCCGCTGACACCGGAGGACGTCGGCTTTGCGTCTGGTTTCTCAACCCCTGGTGCAACGGCTCCAGCGCGCCTCTTCTCTCTGCAGTCCGGAGCGAGGTTTGACATGCACAAGAGAAGTCCTCTGCTGAGAGCACCCAGGTTCACACCGAGCGAGGCCCACTCCAGGATCTTTGAATCTGTCACTCTGCCCTCATCGGTCGGTCGCACCTCTGCAGGGGCCTCTGCCACGGGTGTCTCCTCTCGGAAGCGGAAGAGGAGAGTGTTCAGCCCCATCCGCTCGGAACCCAGATCTCCTTCGCACTCCATGAGGACAAGAAGCGGGAGACTTAGTACCTCTGACCTGACAACGCTCACCCCCCAGTCTTCTGTCTCTTCCTCATTAACGAGCATTTCTGTTAGTTCTCTCGCCACTAGTGCCTTAAATTCAACTTTCACTTTTCCTTCCCATTCCCTAACGCCGGCTGGGGAATCGGCAGAAAGAAGTCAGAGACCAAGGAAGCAGACGAGCACTCCGGCAGAGCCCTTCTCTTCCAGCAGCCCTGCTCCTCTCTTCCCCTGGTTCACATCAAGCCCCCAGACGGAGAGAGGCAGGAACAAGGACAGGGCGGCAGAGGAACTCTCCAAAGATAAAGATGCTGACAAAAGCCTGGAGAAGGACAAGGGCAGAGAGAAAGACCGAGAGAGAGAGAAGGAGAACAAACGGGAGTCAAGGAAGGAGAAAAGGAGGAAAGGGTCAGAAATCCAGAGTAGCTCTGCCTTGTTCCCTGTAGGTAAAATGCCCAAAGAGAAAGTTGTCAGCGAGGATGCTGCAGCATCATCATCTGCCAAAAAAACAGGCGGGCGGAAGAAGTCTGTGGCACTCGACCCTGCGGCAGATGCTTCCGCCGCGGTGCAGGCCGATGCAGCAGCCAGCAAAACCAAAACATCCAAGAAAGGTAGAGGAGGGTTAGACAAGTCGGACCTGGACCTCAGCCCCGCCGTGCCCTCGTTGGAGAAGGAAAAAGCCCTGCGTCTCTCTGCTCCTTCGTCCAGCACCGTTAAACATTCCGCTTCTTCCATCAGCTCTATGTTGGCTCAAGCAGACAAACTGCCAATGACTGACAAGAGGGTGGCCAGTCTTCTGAAAAAGGCAAAAGCCCAGCTCTACAAGATTGAGAAGAGCAAGTCCCTCAAGCAAGCAGATCAGCCAAAAGCACAGGTATTCCCTTTTCCAAGTTGTTTTATTATTTGCTGGGGTGCATCTTGGTTTGCACTCACACTGGAAGTCACCAGTAGGTTTCATATCATAAGCGTGAAGCATTAACTTGCAGAGCTGGGCAGCTGTTAGAGCAACAGATGGCGAATGGCCCAAGACTGAGAAACCCTGCGCAGAAGCTGGGGGGGAGAGGGAGCTGCTGTGTGGTCACCCTGGGGGAGGGAGCCCCGTCCCTTTTTCAGTAGAACCTCTCGTTCTTTTGAGTTTACCCTCGCTGGGATCATCCAGGCTTACGAGGCTGAGAGTCCTTATTTTTACCCCAATTCTGGCTAAGTGCAAGATACAAACTAACTCTTTTTCAGTAGTTTAGAAGTTTGTTACATGTTTCCTGGCCTTTCTCAGGGATACTGTCTGTTCCCATGTTCTGAACTCTAGGGACAAGAGAGCGATTCATCGGAAACGTCAGTCCGAGGACCACGAATCAAACACGTTTGCAGGAGAGCAGCCGTTGCGCTGGGCCGCAAACGAGCGGTCTTCCCAGATGACATGCCCACTCTGAGTGCCTTACCGTGGGAAGAGCGGGAGAAGATACTGTCTTCCATGGGGAATGATGGTGAGTTAGGGGTTTTATCCTTCACCCCTGGCTTCATACAAAGCCAGCTTTGGCTGACTACTTAAGCCGAGGACTGCTTTGAATGGTTAAGGAGGGAGGGAAGGTGTGTTACAGAGCTCTGGGCTCACTGTTACAGTGCTGCTCAAACAGGGTGAATCCTGTCTGCCATTGGTAACTGTTATAAATGTGTTCTGCACTGAACTTCTCTCCTGCTGAGGGGCGTGTGTGCATGTACATATGTACAGGTACATGTGTGTGCGTGCGCTTGCACTCACATGCCCCTTGTGTAGCTCTGCAGGTGTACCTGCCCTTAAGGGAATAAATTCCATGAGCAAATTAGACACTTGGAACATCCTTTGACATCAGTGAATTTACACTAGAAACTTTCTTGACAGATAAGTCATCGATAGCTGGCTCGGAAGAGGCTGAACCTCTTGCTCCACCGATCAAGCCGATTAAGCCGGTTACCAGGAACAAGGCACAACAAGAACCTCCGGTGAAGAAGGGCCGACGCTCGAGGCGCTGTGGGCAGTGTTCGGGCTGTCAGGTTCCAGAGGACTGCGGTGTCTGTACCAACTGTCTAGACAAACCCAAGTTCGGTGGGCGCAACATAAAGAAGCAGTGCTGCAAGTAAGTGTGTGTTTGAGAAACAGTTCAGCCCATCCCTGTGCTGCCTGGGATGAGCACACACACACTTTGGGACAGGGAGCCCTGGAGCATGGTCTTGGAGTGAATTTGCCCTGCGCTGAGGCTGGATCACAGCAAGGGAATGTGAACAGTGGGATTTAGGACATCCCTCTTCAAGTTGTGCTTGTTTCCAAAGTTTGCTTCTGGTTTATTCTTCCCAGGTTGATGGGAACTGGCACGGCATGGAAAGCGTTTGGTGTGAGACCAGTGACTTTGGTTAGGCAGTGCAGGTTTTTGGGGGGAAGGCAGCACAGACATACATATTTCTCTCTCATTCTCCCACATTGCATCCATATAGAGCTGATGTTTTGAAGATGATGTTTATCTGGTGTATATACTTGGTATAACAAAGATGTCTCTGGATGTCATTAAGCAATACTGCCCTTCCATGTTTTCTCCTATAAGTTTTCACAAATATCACTTAGCCTGAACCTGTTGCGTTTTCAAATTGCTACATTCAATTGATTTTACCAGACAAGATAATCTTGTCTGAAAAGGCAGCAGCTGAAGTGGCACCGTTAGAGATTGCTGTGGCATGAGAGCCATTTCCACAGCATAGCTGTGAGGATCACGGTGCGATGCTCGCCTGTGAGATGAAAATGCAGCAGCTTTGTCCAGGCTGCAGGTGAGGTTTCAAAATCATGTGTTGAGAGCGTGGGAAACCAAAGGGAAAATGCAGAAGAAAATAAGAATTTTCTTTATACACCTTTGAAGGGCAGGGGAGTTGCCTGGGAGAAAGTAGTGGCTGTATTGATAATGGTTTTGTCAAGTTTTCACATGGAGCTTTTACAGACTGCCCTCACTGCCTGTGTTCTTCTTCTGATTTCCTGGCATGCTCTTTCTTTTTAGAATGAGGAAATGTCAGAATCTACAGTGGATGCCTTCCAAAGCCTATCTCCAGAAGCAAGCTAAAGGTAGGCTGAAAGACTTGGCTTGAGTGTAGCACCAGAGAGAAAGTTTCATCCCTTAACTTGCTTTGTTTTAAAGAAGTGGCAAATCATTTGAAGTCGTGCCATTTTGGCAGCGTTGCTTTATTGATGCTTCTTCTTCCTAGCTGCAAAAAAGAAAGAGAAGAAGTCGAAGACAAATGAAAAGAAAGAAAGCCATTCTGGAAAGAACCAGCTGGACTCTGGACAGAAACCAACTCCTCAGAGTGTCATATCGAGAGAAGACAATGCGGTAAAGAAGTGCAGCGAGCCTGCCCGTAAGCCCACTGAGGAAAAGCATGAGGATGGGAATTCCTCCATTCCGGTGCCAGAGCCCAAACAGGTCCCTGCACCTGGAACCAGAAAGACTGGCAAGCAGACAGCCCAGCCAGCGCTGCTCCCTCCTCCTCAGCCACCCAGCTCAGGACCTTTGAAAAAAGAAGCACCTAAACTTGCCACTTCTGAGCCTAAGAAAAAGCAGACTCCCCAGCCAGAAATAGGTAAATGGGACTGTTTCTCCTCAATACTTGAGTCATGTTAAGTAACGATATTGGTACCTCTAAAAGCTGTTGGCTTTTAAACCCAAGACATGCTTGATGATCTGGTGAAATTACAGCAGGTTCTTTTGGAAATGTGGCTTAGATCTGGCTGCCTTTTATTGTGCTACGCTGTGTGCTGGGGCAGGGAGAAAGCTGCCCAGTTTCACTGAGGCTTGCAGTCACGTGCCTGGGGCACTCTCCAAGCATATGTCACTGACACAAGGTCTGGTGGCTGTTCACAGTCTGGATGTGAAGCAAGAGGAATGTAAGCTTTTGCTACAAGCCCATAGTCTGCTATGGCACATAGAACAGAGCAGCTTGAGCAGTGATCAGCGAGGCAGCTCTGGGACCTGTGTGCCTTGGCACCCTTGGCTTCAGGCTTTTAGTGGAGCAAACTCCCACTCACGCCTCAAGGAGACTGCTCAAGCTGTAGTTGGTGAGGTGCAGTCACAGAAGGGGGTGGAAAAATTCTGCTCTAAGATTCCTCACACGTTACCCAGCTGATTTTCTTCCCTTTTCTTCTCTACAGGTGGCTGTTAGTTACTTGAAATACTCATAATTTTTCCCCCCTTCCTAGGCACAGAACAAAGCAAACAGAAAAAAATTGCTCCCCGTCCAACTTTCCCTGTGAAACAGAAACCAAAAGAAAAGGTGAATACTGCTTTTTGTACCCAGTCAGTACATTTCAGGGACCTGGAACTTCAGTCTTTCTAGGAAGTAGAACGGTATTACTTAACCCATGTGCAGATTAATTATTTTTGTGCTTAGAGATGTTAGGTTTCTCCTCCTGGCAGGATGCAGATACCAAAGTAGCCAGCATATGCCTAAGATTCGGTTCAAACATTCACTTGTTCTCTAAGATTTGCATGTTGTGGGGTGGAGGCTAGTTTCTCCATGGAACATGGAGCGGCCTTCATCTTGGAAACAACTCCGTTATGGAAAAAACCCCCACAAACAAACAAGCCCTAAAAGAATTGTCTTCAAATCTGAGCGAGAAGTGCATAAGGACTCATTGAGCCCATAGTTGCCCCACTGCAGCAATATAAAAGCCTATGCTCTGGTGAGAGAGCAACATGATGTTAGAGAAGAAGCAGCAAATTGTATTAGAGATGTAATTGCGTGTGGAATGCTCCCAAGCATGGTTTGCAGAACGGTGACTTGCACCTTCCACACGCTCTGAACTCCGCGGTGGTTTGGGGGTTTTGTCTGTGAATCATCTTCAGCATTTCATGTGATTTTGGTGGAGTTCTGACGTTCAGGGTTGGGATTAACGCCGGCTCCTTTACTTGACTAGGAAAAGCCCCCTCCTATAAGCAAGCCAGAGAGCAGCACGCTGAATTTGCTCAGCACTCTGACTAACGGAAGCAGTTCCAAGCAAAAGCCACCTACAGATGGAGTCCACAGAATCCGAGTGGATTTCAAGGTAGAGGACAAAATGTTTTAAGTCTTTGAATGTTACCTGCCTCTAATCACTGGAGCTAGAGTCCCTCAAGAGTGCTGGCAGTGACTTCTAAGTGTGTGTGTCTGGTTCCGTTCAGAGAGAGCTGCAAATAGGAGCCTTCAGGACAAGTCACTCGGTTGATTCTTAGAAGCTGGTTATGCCTTTTTGTTTTCCTTATAATTAGAGTACTGGACGAAGAGAGACTTAAAGCTTTAAAACCTTAACTGTCAATGTGTGAGGATGGGCGAGAATGGGAGGTTTATGAAGAATGATTCCATTAAGATGGAACTATAAAACCTTGCCACAACTTGAGCCAACAAGATTTGGGGAAATGTTAGTAACTTGTAATTCAAGACATTTGGGGTATATCTGGGGGTTCGAATGAGAAATCCTGTACTTTTTTGAACAACAGTGTTGAAATAATAAACATGCATATTTTCCTAATCAGAATTTTTCAGTCCATCTATAAGTGTTGATAATGGAGCTTATAGTGGGATCTCTTAAGTGTTTTATAAAATATGGAGCTTTAATAAAGTATAATTCTTCTGAAATTCCACCTTCAGTACTAATTGTGCAATCGTGAAAAGCCTTGTCTCGTTCCTTAGGCTTGCTTTCCATAGGGGAAGGCTAGGGCTTTGCTGAGCTCTCTCGGCAAGACCAGCGCCGAGGTGGGACTCTAAAGTAGACCAAGGCAGAAGCTGAAATGGTTTCAGTTGGAGGCCGCTTAACTGCAGGTCCCAAGTGTGTAAAGCAGTGTGAGCACTTTGTACTGATGTTGTATTGCCTTGTTCTGCATGGTGATGTGTCCTTTTGTGCTTTCAGGAGGACTGTGAAGTGGAGAATGTTTGGGAGATGGGTGGGTTAGGCATCGTCACCTCGGTACCTATTACTCCCAGGGTGGTCTGTTTTCTCTGTGCCAGCAGTGGACATGTGGAGGTAAAGCATTGCGTTCTGCTGTCAATCGCTTAGTTACAGCACCGTGTTGTTACGGACATAAATACAGCCATACGCAGAGAGTATTGTGACCTTAATCCCTGAGAAATGAAAATAATACCTGTAAATCTGTCCTTGTAAAATTTGTCACAAGATGCTAAAATGCAAGGTATTGAAAATCAGTTTCTGAGCTGCTCACTCTGGAGGTGAACTGTAGTACATATAGAGTAGCAGCACATCAGAGAGCACCCGCATCTCCTCTTAATTTGGAATCCCACGTCTGATGTGAAGCAGGGGCTTTGCTTGCTTTTCACTTGAGATAAGAAAGGCTGCCCAGTAATCTTAGAGGGCTTCAGGTGGTGTTGGCTTTCCCAGGTACGTCTGTATCTGCTGAGAGCCACAAACTGTTACTGAAATGTGACTGGAAAGATTCTGGTGCTGCACAAAGAGCTGCAATAAGATGTGCTAAATGCATTTCCAGGTACAGATAGGTGCTTCTCAACATCTTCTGGCTAGCTGCCATCAGAAGGTGATGGTAACGCTCTAGAAAAGGCTTGGTTATGAGTGCCCAGTACCTAGGGGGAAGAGGGTTCAGTCCTATATATGTGGACATCGGTGTACCTGTTTGAGGACCATGAAGGTTCAGTGGGTCATGGAGACATCTCCTTCTCAGTCAGGCTGCTCAAGGGGACAGACTGTTCTGGTGTCCTCTGTGAGCCTGCTATGTTCCTGCCCCAAGGATGATTCTTTCTGTGATGTGACCAGCCTTGTAGGGCGATACATAGAAGAGCTTTCAAATGGGCCACCTAAGCTGAATGGAGGGAGAGATGTCTCTCTGCTCTGCATTGCCCCTTCCTTCTGCACTGTTTCTTCTTGTGCAGTTGGGTTGTGGTACAGCAAGGGAAGGCGATCCTGAAGAGCCCTTTAGGTCTTTGCCAATGCTCAGAACACTGATAAGGTGTCCCAGACTCCCATTTGCTGCTAAGAGGCAAGTCTCTGGGTAGACGAACGTGTATTTGGGCGATGTGAAGTACACGCACAGTTTCCTTCCTAAAATATGCCAGTAGAAATCCTTGTGTCAGCTGTAGAGCAGAATTCAAAGTAGTTTGGAGCACGAGGGGGCTTGTTTGGGAATTCCGAGCAGCTTCTGACTTGCTAAAACCTGCCTCTCCCCCCTTGCAGTTTGTGTATTGTCAGGTCTGTTGTGAGCCCTTCCACAAGTTCTGCTTAGAGGAGAGCGAGCGGCCCCTGGAGGACCAGCTGGAGAACTGGTGCTGCCGTCGCTGCAAGTTCTGCCACGTGTGTGGGAGACAGCACCAGGCCACCAAGGTACCCCCAAACCCCGGCGGGGACCCCACGCCACGCTGGGCAGGACACACGCGAGTTGCTTCATGGCAGCTTCTTCCTCTTGCCCTGACGGGGGAGCAAATGTAACCAAAAGCAGACCCCTCTGGGGTCTCTGCTCCAATGCTTTTTCTCCTCCTTCTTGCAGCAGTTGCTGGAGTGTAACAAGTGCCGAAACAGCTATCACCCGGAGTGCCTGGGCCCAAACTACCCAACAAAGCCCACCAAGAAAAAGAAAGTTTGGGTGAGGGTTTCTTTATTTCCTTCTGCGTGATTCACATGTTGACTGATCATAACGCTGTGGGCCAGAGCTCTGCACATGTCTTGTTCTGATGCAGTCACTTCACTTTTAAAGGCAGGTGCCTGTTACATCAGAAGGTACATTTGGAAATAGGTGGTAGGAAATAGGTGTCTTGTAGATAAGATCTCAAACAAGCAGGACTTTTTACAGAGGTGACACATTTTTTAGTTGTGGTAATTGTTCTGATCGTAATCCTAGGACATGGAAGAAGCTCTTTAGAATGAAAGTGTTTGCCTTGTTAACAGACTTCCCAGCAGATACTGGTACCGAGAGACAATGTGCATTAATGCACTGGTTTGTGTCTCTAGAGCTTTTGTTCTGAACAGGTGCCTCTAGTGCACTTGTATTTAGTGCTAACAGGTTCTAGGTGTTTTGTAGTACAACAGTCTCAGAGCTGGAAAACTGTTATAAGACAGGTCAGAAGAAATGGCACAACTATGTGCACTGTTTACATGAAGGGAAAGGAGGTATTTTTGTCAGTGCAAATAGGAGGGCAGAAAAACTCTATTGTGATTTATTTTCATTTTTTCTTGTGGCATTATCACCTTCTTACTGTAAACAGAGGGAGCTCTTTCTTTTTAGTGGGAGTTTCAGTATCTGAAACTGATTCTGCTGCTGTATAAGCTCCCTGCACTCATTAAGTAAGAAAAACAGTGAGTTGTATCCTTAGGACCAAAGCATAGGGATATTTCTGTTCTGGGTAACAGAAATAACTCTTGCCAAACATTCCTTTTCCAGATATGCACCAAATGTGTTCGCTGCAAGAGCTGTGGATCAACAACGCCAGGCAAAGGGTGGGATGCACAGTGGTCCCACGACTTCTCGCTGTGTCATGATTGTGCCAAACTCTTTGCTAAAGGTATGTACAGTTGGGGTTCTTTACAGCAGGAGCCTCGCTGGGTGCTCGGGTTTGAGTTAGCGTCAGTGCAGAGCGAGCAGAGGGGCTGTGGGGCAGCTGAGTTGCTCACAATGCAAAAAGGGTCTGAACCTGGCCTAAAGACTCCTGACTTAGTAGGAGTAACAGAATTCCTGTCGTAAAGCGGTTGTTCCTTCCTGTGTCAGTTACTTTACATGGTGCCTTTGTACACAGGAGGGGCTGGGCTCTTTGGGGAAGAAGTTCAGGAGAGAAAATCTTGATTGTTCCACCTAATTTCTTTCCACCTGCATGTCACCTTTGTGCTCTTGCTTTACTCTGTAAAGGTAACAGCATGTAGTATTTTGTTAGGCTCTCCACTCCCAAAAAATGGGTACCCAGTAATGGTATTCTAGAGCGGTAAGGATTCTTCCAAGAAGTTTCTTTTTGTGGCTATTGTTTGCAGTGTTGTAAAAGCAGATGCAACTGTCTTGGCAGCTGAGAGCTGCTTCTTTGGTACACTAGTAAATAACCACATAGCCTTTAACAGACGTGTGTGGCAGCTGAACTCCTGATAAACATCACCTCTTGTTGGCAGGAAATTTTTGTCCTCTCTGTGATAAATGCTACGATGACGATGATTATGAGAGCAAGATGATGCAGTGTGGGAAATGCGACCGCTGGGTGCATTCCAAATGTGAAAACCTCTCTGGTAAGGCAAATCCTTGTCTCCTCGGCACTAAGAACATGGGGCAGTGAGTAGACCAAAGTGATCGATGTTGGGACCTTTCTGCTAGACTGTAATATCAGCACCCTCACCTGTTGTGACCTCCCTCAAGACCATCTGTAGAGTGGCCACAGGTAAACCAGGACTAATACTAGTAGTGCCCTGAAGGTGAAGGACTTGCATATCAAGCACAGTTTTGCTCAGTTAGCACACAAGATGCTTTTGTTACATGGGAAGGGTTTCAGGTAGTAAGTGCAGAGAAGGGGTTTTCCCTGTAGCTATCTTTCAGTAAAGTACTTCAGATTGTTATTTTACCTTTCCTTATCTGCAGATGAAATGTATGAGATACTCTCGAACTTGCCGGAGAGCGTAGCGTACACCTGCATTAACTGCACAGAGCAGCATCCTGCGGAGTGGCGGCTGGCGCTGGAGAAGGAGCTGCAGGTTTCCCTACGGCAGGTTTTAACAGCCCTCTTGAATTCCAGAACTACCAGCCACTTGCTGCGCTATCGGCAGGTAAGTGGAGCCTCATGGCCCTTCACATCTTCTTGGCCTGAAGCATTGCCTGGCATCGCTGTACATCTCACTGCCTTTAGTGTACTTGGAATGACACAGACTGCAAGTTTTGTTTTCTTTCTTCATTCCTATGGAGACAAAGGAGTGGGTACCTACAGTACAATTTGTGAGGCTAAGAAGAAAAAATAGGGTAGATTTCTTCAAGGAGTGGGAGGATTTAGCTCTGTGATGGTGTTTTGTTGACAGATAAATGGGATCTTAGTTTTGAAATACATATTCAGAAATAAGAATTCTGAAAGATGAGTCTCATCCTGATAGCTGGTCACTCTGCCCTGCTGTGTGCCTTGCAGGACAGCAGCAGAAAAGTTAAGACTTTTTCATTTTTGTCCCTTTATTCAGAACTTGAGTCTCCTTTCTTTCATGTTAGTGAGAATCTCTGAGCCTGTAAGTGTGCCTGGGAGTATGTCACGAGTAGCAGCCACGCTTCAATAGCCAAAGTCCCTCTGTCTGTTTGCTGATGTTAACAGGCAGCAAAACCACCTGATTTAAACCCCGAGACAGAAGAGAGTATCCCGTCCAGAAGCTCTCCTGAAGGTCCCGACCCTCCTGTCCTAACAGAAGTCAGTAAACAGGAGGAGCAGCAACCTCTGGATCTGGAAGGAGTGAAAAGAAAAATGGATCAAGGAAGTTACATTTCCGTGGTATGTCAAAGGTTTTGCGTTCCCCTCAAATGACAGAGCCTATGAATGGTTTTATGACCCGTGGGATTTAGAATTGAGTGTGCTTAAGCCTTTTCTTTATGAACAAGGAGACAGGTTAATGTGCTTCTAAAAATTACTCTGACTGGTGCCCATGTTAACATTGGTTCCAAGACATAGAATTTACACTGCTGCATGGGTCACTCCAACCAGCAGCAGCACTTGGTTAAATCCCTTTAGCTCTTAGTCAGGTATTGATGTTGATGGAAACAGGATGGAGTATATTTCATGTACAAGTTCTAGCTGAAGGCCTAGTCAGGTAACTCCAAGAACATTCAGTTATCTGGAAACTGATACTTAATCTGTGCAGGAATGATCTCTTTAGGGGTCATTTATACACAACACTAGCATTGACTGGACCAGTTCTCTTTGTAGGGAACAGCTTTTTCCTCTTTTTTTCCCTATGGAGCCCATAATCCTGAGGAGAAATGTATATTGCAAAGCACTGGGCAGACATGCTGTAGCCAGGTTTTAGCCAAGTCCTTGTGAGTTAGCCAGCTTAGGTGGTTTAAAACTACTCAGCAGTCATGTCCTGGTAGAAGGAAGAAGTGAACAGTGGTGGGTGTCACAGTTCTGCAGCCAGGGTGCAAATGCAGAGGACTGCTCGTTTCTTTACAAATAAACCTTTTCGCTGCTTCAAGTCAGTGCTCTCGTTCAGTCTTCCAGTCATTTGGATGCTCACTTGATGCCTTAAAAAGCAAGTGGGTGGTGTAGCTGTGCAAGAGACATCCTGTTGATATGAAATGTTGGGGCTTTCTTACAGTTGGATTTCAGTGATGATATTGTGAAGATAATTCAAGCAGCTATTAACTCCGATGGAGGGCAGCCAGAAGTGAAGAAAGCCAATAGCATGGTCAAGTCCTTCTTCATCCGGGTGAGCTGGACTACAGTTGTTTTGAAATCTGCCTGGTATCATACTACTGCTTGTTGTTGTTGGAATCCAAAGGGTCTGTCACGCTTGGTATTGCTTGGGTATTTCCAGGAATAAAATAATACATTGTCAGAGTTGTTGATGTTAATGAAATCTTACTGGTTGTGCGTTTAGAGTAGATCTTGCCTGAATGTCTTTGAATTTTTGGCATGTTGTATAACGTTTCTAACAGAGTGTTGTTTTCCTTCAGCAAATGGAACGTGTTTTTCCATGGTTCAGTGTAAAAAAGTCCAGATTTTGGGAGCCAAATAAAGTAACAAGCAAGTAAGTAATTGTTCTGCCTCTGACTGTGGCACCCTGCGGTTTGCCAGCTGTCTAAGCAAAAAGTATCACAAGAGGGTTGGGTTTTCTGTTTCTGTTTTTCCTTTTCCCTTTTTTGTTTTGGTTTGGTTTGGTTTGAAGTTGTTAAACAGTAATCCCATCCCCAGGTTTTGTATACACTTCCTTGCTCTAAAGCAGAACAACCAAAAACATTATTTAGATCTAGATGTGTTGTCTGTTGTCTTGTCAGTCCTGTCTTTCCTTCCCCCTCCTCCTCACTCCCATTTAGTGTGGCCTTCCTTCTGCATCTGTTACCCTCAAAAGAAACAGCCAGCTACATCACAAACCTTCAAATGTGAGTGTTGTGGCCTTTGTTGAGAGCATGCGGGGACTGGGAGTAGTTAAAGGGGTTTTTACTGTGGACTGAATGTCAGTGGTGCTGCTGGCCAGGGCTCAAGGTCCTCTGGTGTAGTCAGGTCTGACAGCTGCTCCTGTTGCTTTTCAGCAGTGGTATGTTGCCCAACGCAGTTCTGCCGCCTTCACTTGACCACAATTACGCTCAGTGGCAGGAGCGTGAAGAGAACAACCGCACTGAGCAGCCCCCTCTGATGAAGAAGATCATCCCTGCTCCAAAACCCAAAGGGCCTGGAGAGCCAGATTCACCCACTCCTCTGCATCCTCCTACGCCACCTATCTCTAGTAAGAAAACAGATTGCAGCACTGTTAGTCCCAAACCCAGGGGTCTTCACTCTAAACCTTCTAGTCGTAAAGCAAGGGTGGTGCTAGTTCTGTATGTGACTGAAGGATTCTGGAGACCTCTGTGACCTGCAGTCACTCAGAGACTGTTACACATGCCATGTTTCTGAGCTGAGCTGGGGCTCAGACATATTTGCCTTGCCTCCCCCTGAGAAGGGCTGTGTAGAGCCTGCTGTGTGCCTTGCCTTGCTTGACAAGCTGGCTGTTTGACAGCTTGAGGCTACTGTTTGGCTCCTCTACCCTGTTCTCTTACTGACAGTCTTTCCAGATGAATTTTTGCCTCCCTGGCTTTCAAGAATAAACAGAGTTCTCTCTTTTAACCGTAAGGCTCTGACAGAAGCCGAGAGGACAGTCCTGAGCTTAACCCACCTCCAGATGTAGAAGACAACAGGCAGTGTGCATTGTGCCTGAAGTATGGCGACGACAGCGCTAACGTGAGTACCTGGCCCATGCCTGTGTAATGGGAGCTCATTTAATCACTACCATGGGTAGGCCAGATGCTGCTTGTGCATTGCTGTGTCTCTTGGAACATTCAAAAAGAACTTTTCCTTCTGTTCCTTAGGATGCTGGACGTCTTCTCTACATTGGCCAAAATGAATGGACACATGTGAACTGTGCTTTATGGTCAGCAGAAGTATTTGAAGATGACGATGGCTCTCTGAAGAACGTGCACATGGCTGTGATCCGGGGAAAGCAGCTGGTGGGTAGAAGGGAAGAATGCTTGGTTAAGCTTCACACTCACACAGAATAAGGACACGAACCCAGCTAAAAGATTCCTTGTGTGTTTTGTATATTAAGGAGCATTTTCACCTTGGAGTATACATAAAAGATGTTGATATGGAGCTTGCATGTAGCTACTCTGTTAAGTAGTGCAAAAAAGGACAGTGGCGCCTGTTTTCTGAACTGCCATGCAGTCTTGGGAAACTAACTTCCTGTTGTGAATTGGTTGATGGTTACTTTCCAGGAGAGCAAAATGAGACTGGAAGCACGACTAGAAATCAGTTTGTCCAAATTCTGTTTTACTGTTGCATCAGTTGGTGCTAAATGTTCATTGAAACAGCATAAGGGATGGAATCAGACTGCTCTTACTGTGCTGCCCACTTGGGGAATACTCTGTGCAGGAGAAATAATTGTCACATGAATCAGTGAAGCTTGCAAATATGGTGCCTGGATCTGGAGTACAAGCAAGGAAGTCTGGGGCCTGGAGGAAGCAAATGCAAAAGTTGTTGTGTGTGAGGGATCTTCTTCCTCTCGCCTCCTCCTCCATGTCTCGCTCATGCATGTGAGTCACGGATGTGGAAATGAAGTGGGAGGTCAGGCATTACTTTAAACTCTTCTCTGTGCCAAAACCCCAGCTGACAACGGTAATGGTGGCCTGGGTGTAAAGGAGGTTAATTGTCAACTGGTTTTTATTTCACTTTTGTAGAGATGTGAGTTCTGCCAGAAGTCGGGCGCCACAGTAGGCTGCTGCCTCACTTCCTGTACAAGTAACTACCATTTCATGTGCTCACGAGCCAAGAACTGCGTCTTTCTGGACGATAAGAAAGTTTACTGCCAGAGGCATCGTGACCTGATCAAAGGAGAGGTGAGATTCTTCTTTCACCCCCTGCCTCGCCTGAAGGTGGGGTAGGCCTGTAACTGTCAGCACTCTCTAGAAATTAACGTTGAACGTGTTCCTTCCTAACAATGGCCTGACCACAGTGCTGCTAAAAAGAACTCAGTGATAGGGCTGGCATGAAGAGGTTTGGCAGGTGACACTGTCTGGCAGCTGAAAATCCTAACGACCAAACTGAAGCTTGAGTAAGACAGGCTATGTAGCATACATATGGCGGTTCCTTTAAAAATAACAGCTAGTTTTGTGGATCTTTCTTCCAGGTGGTTCCTGAGAATGGGTTTGAAGTTCTTAGGAGAGTCTTTGTGGACTTTGAAGGGATCAGTTTGAGAAGAAAATTTCTCAGTGGCTTGGAACCAGAGAACATCCACATGATGATCGGTAAGATCCAGTCTCTGCACACGTAATCCACTTTTTGTGCTGGAACCTGGTTGACAGCCCCTTCTGTTCCTCTTTCTGCTCAGGTTCAATGACGATAGACTGTTTAGGAATTCTGAATGACCTCTCAGACTGTGAGGATAAGTTGTTTCCCATCGGCTATCAGTGAGTATGAGTTGTTGCATGATTAAATGTCTCTTAGTATGTTAGATGCCAAACCAGCACTGAAGTAACATCAGTTAAAATGGTCTGTAGCTTTCCTCTGCTGTTTGGGAATCTCACAGCTAAGCTGGGTGTGCAGCACGTTGTGCAGGAAGCCTTTGAGAAACTGAAAAGATAACGTAGGAATGATGAGATTTGCTTACTGTTGAGTAAACTTGTTTATGTTGGAATTATCTTCCAGGTGCTCCAGGGTGTACTGGAGCACAACAGATGCCAGGAAGCGCTGTGTGTATACCTGCAAGATCATGGAGTGCCGACCACCAGTCATAGAACCTGACATCAACAGCACTGTAGAGCATGATGATAACAGAACAATTGCCCATAGCCCAGTTCCCCTTACAGGTGATCTTTTAAAACTTCCCAAAAGTACTTTATCAGATCATAGCTTTTAGGGTTCAGCGACAGCTTATACCACTGTTTCTCTTTTATACAACAGAAACTCTACCTAAAGAGAGCCAAAATACACCTGAAATTGTAAACCCACCATCACCAGATCGTCCCTTGCATTCTCAGACCTCTAGTTCCTGTTACTATCCACTGCTCTCAAAGGGTCCTAGGATCAGGACACCAACTTACCCAGCCGCACAGAGGTCTCCCGGCTCAAGGCCATTACCTTCTGCAGGTACTTCAAGTGTTGTTGAATTTGACCTTTGGTTTTGGAGAGGTTTCTTTTATTTGTTTGGAAATAATTCTGGTTTGGTTCCTGTCTTCTATAGCTTCCTTCAGGATGTGTTTAGTTTTCTGCTGCTAGAGAAAACAGTGCTGTGGCAGTAGGGTTGAGGGCGGGAAAGCTCTGAAAATAGAGTAGAGATGGCCTGTTGAGAAATGTATGACTGAATCAAAAACTGCCTGGGATGATGAAAGCTGTGTGTGGGCAGTACAGTAGCACCACTGCAGGAGACCTGTAGTACAGGTTAGGGACTTTCTCATTTCAGTTGGTGTTTTTCTAGAGAGAGTTGGAAATCTGCTGTTGTAACTCAGCTGCTGTTTCTGTATCAATGGGTCACATTTTGTTTCAATGCAATGTTGAACATTCAGATCAGAAGTTGAGGTACAGAATGCTGAGATGCAAACCTATCAACTCTGCTTTCTGAGTTGATACTAATTGACAGTATCAGGTATTTAATAGCCAGCTCAGCTATCATCATTATGTGAATGCTACTGCACTGAAAGGTTTTCATTTCTGGTGTCTTGACTGAAGGGATTGGGTGTGCATTGATCATGGAGCCTTCAGATCACTCGACAGTCTTTCTTGCCTTATTTTCTCAGGAAGTCCTACACCAGTGACCCATGAAATAGTGACTGTAGGAGATCCTTTGCTGTCCTCTGGACTGAAGAGCATCGGTTCTCGGAGACACAGCACCTCCTCTTTGTCACAGCAGCAATCAAAACTCCGGATGATTTCCCCTCCACGAGCTGGGAACACTTACTCCAGGCACAGCGGATCTGCAGCTTCCAGCATGGGGTCCTCCTCAGAGCACGAGCCGAGCATCAAGAGCACTGACCGCTTTGTGGGATCGGTGAATGTGGGTACTCCAAGTGCTCCAGTTCAAAGTTGCTCCACCAGTTCAGGCTCCCAGAAGACAGCAGCTATAAGCGGAAGTAAAACTTACCAGCTGGATGCCTCTCAGTCTACAGAAGGACATTCAGCCAGTTTGGATTTGCTAGCTAAAGGTGTGACTTCTAAAGGAGAGAAGACAAAAACACCGACCTTGAAAGACCCAGATTATTCAGCTCATAGTTTTGCTTCTGGGGGAAACTCCAAAATGTCCATTCAGCCAACCAGTTCATCGGGCGCAGAGATGAATGCTAAAGTAGGAACCTTTCAAGAATGTTCAGGACCATTTTCTTCCAAAGAGGCAATATCCTTCCCACTTTTGCATCAGAGAGGCCCAAGGAAAGACAGGGATCAGCACATGGAACCTGTGCAGCTGGAGAAAACAGCCGTGGTTGATGAGATGGATGCCAAGACCTTGAAGTCTGCTGGAGTAAATAGCAGGCCTCCTGCAGCGAGTGAGCAGGTGGTTTCTGCCCCTAAAGACAGGCGTCAGAAGGGGAAGAAGTTAGTGAAAGACAGTTTCAAAGAGAAGCATTCCCTGAAACCTCTTACAGATTCGAGTCAAGCAGTAGGCAGCAGTGAAGGAAACCTGAAACCAGAGTTCACCAATCAGGGTTTGGCAACGGAACAGCTTAGCCAGAGGTTGTGTAACAGTATTCCTGCTGAAAAAGCTGGCGATAAGTCCCCACCTTCCCAAGGGCCATCCAAAGGTTCTGCAGCACAGATGGAAGTGGCCCCCAGGGAATCACCAACACCTAGAAAGCGCACTGTTAAAGTCACTCTGACACCGCTCAAGATGGAAGGTGAAAACCAGTCTAAAAACGCACAGGCAGAAAGCGATGCTGAGGCTCAGCCTGCAGGGGTAGAACTGTCTGCGATGGCAGAGTCCTCCTCAACCTCGGAAAGCCAGGAAGATAACCCTGTAGTTCAGGGAAGTCCAAATGAAGCGCCAGCACAGGAATCACAGAATAACACATATGAAAACCTGCCTGTTCAAGATAACAGCTTGCTGCTCCAGGATGGAGCTAAACCTCCAGAAGAGGGCTCGTACAAGCGGAGGTATCCACGGAGAAGTGCTAGGGCCAGATCCAATATGTTCTTTGGACTGACTCCTCTGTATGGCGTGAGGTCTTATGGAGAGGAAGACATTCCCTTCTACAGTAACTCGACTGGGAAGAAGCGGGGGAAGCGGTCTGCAGAAGGACAAGTGGACGGCGCGGATGACTTGAGCACATCAGATGAAGACGACTTGTATTACTACAATTTCACTAGAACGGTGGTTTCCTCGAGCGCGGAGGAGAGGCTTGCGTCCCACAGCTTGTTCAGGGAGGAGGAGCAGTGTGATCTCCCCAAAATCTCCCAGCTGGACGGTGTGGATGATGGAACTGAAAGTGATACAAGCGTCACGGCGACCACAAGAAAAGTCAGTCAAGTAAGTAAAAGGAGCAGTAAGGAAAATGGAACGGAGAACTTAAAGCTAGATAGAGGTGAAGATGCCGGTGAGAAAGTGCAAGTCACCAAGAGCTCCTCTGTCCACAAAAGCGACTCAAAGATGGATAACTGCCATCCGGTGAGCAGGGTTAAAGCACAAGGTCAGGACTCTCTGGAAGCTCAGCTGAGCTCTCTGGAAACGAGCCGCAGGGCTCACGCCAGCACACCTTCTGACAAGAACTTGTTGGACACTTTCAACACAGAACTCCTGAAATCTGACTCTGACAATAACAACAGCGATGACTGTGGGAACATCCTCCCTTCCGACATCATGGACTTTGTACTAAAGAACACGCCGTCTATGCAGGCACTGGGAGAAAGTCCAGAGTCCTCATCCTCTGAACTTCTAACCTTGGGGGAAGGTTTGGGTCTCGACAGCAACCGTGGGAAGGATATGGGTCTGTTTGAGGTGTTCTCTCAGCAGCTGCCCACCGCCGAGCCAGTGGACAGCAGCGTCTCGTCCTCCATATCGGCAGAGGAGCAGTTCGAGTTGCCGCTGGAGCTTCCTTCCGACCTCTCTGTTCTGACCACTCGCAGCCCTACGGTGCCCAGCCAGAATCACAACAGGCTCGCCGTCATCTCGGAGTCTTCGCTCTCCTCCTCGGGGGAGAGGTCGATGCTCGCCTTGCCCTCCACGGAGTCTGGGGAGAAGAGAGTGACGGTCACAGAAAAATCTGCCTCGGGGGAAGGCGATGCAGCTCTCCTCAGCCCGGGAGTAGACCCCAGCCCTGAAGGGCACATAACTCCCGACCACTTCATTCAGGGTCACATAGACACGGAGCACATAGCCAGCCCGCCCTGTGGCCCTGTCGAGCAAGGGCACGGCAGCAATCAGGATTTAACAAGGAACAGCGGGACTCCAGGTATCCAGGTGCCAGTATCGCCCACCGTTCCCCTCCAGAGCCAGAAGTACGTGCCAAACTCCACAGACAGCCCCGGCCCCTCTCAGATCTCCAATGCTGCGGTGCAGACAACGCCACCCCACCTCAAGCCGGCCGCAGAGAAGCTGCTGGTAGTCAACCAAAACATGCAGCCGCTGTACGTCCTCCAAACTCTTCCCAACGGCGTTACTCAGAAGATCCAGCTAACGCCTTCCGTTAGCTCTGCGCAGAGTGTGATGGAGACCAACGCTTCAGTGCTGGGGCCCATGGGCAGCGGCCTCACGCTGACCACGGGATTAAATCCAAGCTTGCCCTCCTCTCAGTCATTGTTCCCTCCCACAAGCAAGGGGCTGCTGCCCATGTCCCATCACCAGCATATCCATCCCTTCTCCACCGCTGCTCAGACTGGCTTCCCACCAAACATCAGCAGTCCTTCGCCAGGTCTTCTCATCGGGGTGCAGCCGCCCCCCGATCCTCAGCTCTTGGTGTCTGAAGCTAGTCAGAGGACAGACCTGGGTACTGCAGCCACTACTCCAGCCACTGCCCTGGGCAAGAAGCGGCCCATATCTCGCCTGCAGTCACGGAAGAGCAAGAAGCTGGCTCCCTCGGGAACCCCTTCTGCTATAGCTCCTCCTGATATGGTCTCCAATATGACCTTAATTAATTTTGCTCCTTCCCAAATTTCCAACCACCCGCTGGATTTGGGAGCTATTGCAAACTCCACCTCCCACAGGACCGTCCCCAATATTATCAAACGGTCCAAGTCTGGGGTCATGTATTTTGAGCAAGCATCGCTGCTCCCACAAGGTGGGACCGCCACTGCCGTAGGCACATCTTCCAGTGTTATTGGGCCAGAGGCCAGCCACCTCCCTGCAGGGCCTGTGTCGGGCCTGGCCTCGAGTTCCTCAGTGCTGAACGTCGTGTCCATGCAGGCCACGGCAGCACCGAGCACCGGTGGGTCAGTTCCCGGTCACGTTTTGGGACAAAGTTCGGTAACATTAACTAGCCCTGGATTATTAGGGGACATTGGGTCGATAAGCAACCTTCTGATCAAAGCTAGTCAGCAAAGCCTTGGTCTTGGTCAGGAGCAACAGCACATGACTTTACCACCAAGTTCTGGGATGTTCTCGCAACTGGGAGCATCCCAGACTCCATCTACAGCAGCAATGACAGCTGCATCAAGCATATGCGTTCTGCCTTCAGCACAGACGATGGGCATGACAGTTGCTCCCTCCTCTGCTGACCCGGAAGGCTCTTACCAGCTTCAGCACATGACGCAGCTCTTGGCCAACAAAACCGGGGTGGCTTCCTCCCAGCTGGACCTCGGCACAGCTTCGGCCACAACGCAGTTGTCCAGCTTTCCACAGCTGGTAGACGTTCCCAGTAATACTGGACTGGAGCAAAGCAAGGCTTCCTCGTCCGTGATGCACGCCAGCTCTGCGTCTCCCGGAGGCTCCCCCTCCTCTGGCCAGCAGTCAGCCAGCAGCTCCGCACTGGCTCCCACAAAAACCAAGCCGAAAATCAAACGCATTCAGCCGTCATTAGACAAAGGGAATGGGAAGAAGCACAAAACATCTCACTTGTGGAGCGGTCCCTCTGAAGCACATGCTCCTGAGAGAGGGGCTGTCGCTGTACCCCAGGTCTCAGCTGCAGGGTAAGAGGAGTATTTGGTTCTGCTCATCCCTGAGGTTTTGTAATGATATGAGGAAGAATCACACTCATTTCCACAGCAAATTTTCTGTTGGGCAATTTTTAAGATAAAAGCCACAGCTGCCAGCAGAAAGTAGGTACCTAAAAGAGTATCCCTTCTGGAGGGGGAAGGGTGGAAAGCTTAAGGCTTTGAGGATCAGGGTTGTGAGGACATTATTCATTGTTGCCAGTTCTGGCAAATTAAAAAGCAGTTTAGAGATACTAGAGGAGAAAATGGCACTCCAAAGGGTGGCAGGGTCTCCAAAATGATTGCTCTTACTGAGAGTAACGTCCCTCTGCTGGCAACTGAGAAACACTGCACATCACTTGTGCAATTCCTTGGTTGCCTTCCTGTCCTGTAATGAGTCTGATTCATAAAACATCGATCCAGACCTCTTTCAACAGCTTACTCTTTTGAAACAGCCAGGACACTTTTTCTTGCTCCTCCTCCCTGTTGAAGTGCAAGTCTGGATTCTGCTGTGGTGCTGGAAGTGTGATCTGGTTCCTTGTACCTCCGTTTCTACTCCTGCAGTTCTGTGAACTGCTGAATCACTCGCAGCAGCTCCCAGTGGATCTGTTGCCGTTTTCCAGTCTCACTCACAGCACATGTGGCTTGGCAGGTATTTTCAGTGTTCCTAACTTTTTTGGTTCCAGGACTGCTCCTCTGAAGGCAGATACACAGGATCCAGCAAGCGCAGATCAGTCATTGCAGAAGCCATGTGGCCAGTCTGCAGGGTAAGCATTCAACAGACATTTCCATCAGTGAAGTTGTGTGTATCTCTGGGAAGCCACAGCTGGCTGAGGAGATGACCCCTCACCATGTGCTGGCTGAGCCTCGGTCACTGAGTAGGACTAACACAGAGAACAGGTCACAGACTGTACTGGGTTAAACTGCTACCCACAGAGAAATAAATGCCTCAGAAAGGAATGCCACTGAGTAAAGCCTGCTGGTTTGTTTCCAATAGAACTGATGTCAGAGCACAAAGGTTATTGTATCTGTCTAGTTCTCAGATTTTATAGGCAGCTCTTCAGCCTGGTGAGGAAATGAAGCAGGTTGTTAAATATTTTTCTCTGTGTTCCTCTTTCCCCCCCAAGGCAAACGTCAGTGCTGGCAGAATCTCAGTCAACACAAAGTGCAACAAGTGAGCAAGAGAATGCAGGTATGTCACTTCTTCAAAAGCACCGAGTCTTGGGATTGTCCAGGTCTGGAGATGAGTACCTGGAAGTTCAGGGCTTGTGTGTCTCACTCTCTTGGGAAAAACCTCAGAGCTGATAACTGTGGTATTCTTGCTGTGAGGGGAGGAAGGGTTTCTTGGCTATTAATAGATATGAGACTAATAATTGTATGTCTATTTTAAGTTTGTGGGAATTTCAGCACTTGAGATTTCACACTTACTATAGCACTGTCTAGATTTTTTTCTTGGACAGGTTTACAGGTCAAAAGGCAAGTTAGTCAGGAATGTTGTCATGGAACAGCCAGTGGAAAAATGTCACTCAACCCAGTTTCTGTCTTCATGCTCCTCCTGTCTTTTCCAGGCTCAAAAGCTTTTGAGGAAGAAGAGAGCACTTTCAGCTCCCCACTTATGTTTTGGCTTCAGCAAGAGCAAAAGAGAAAAGAGTGTCTGGGTGAGAAGAAACACAAGAAAGGTTTGGTTTTTGAGATCTCTAGTGATGACGGTTTTCAGATCTGCGCAGAAAGCATTGAAGGTGAGAACCATTGGCTTTTGGTTGCACTGTTTTTAGCTTTCCTTGCTAGAAGTAAAGTTAGGACTTCTGAGGATCAAAGTCTTGAATTACAGCCCCAGAACAACCCGAATTCCTAACAATGGCTGGATTCTGTTGATGATTTTTTCTTTCAGTAGAATATATTCAGTGAATATATCTCATTGTTTAGTCAGCTGACCAGTGGTTTTGAGCCATGTTTTGTCACTACGTAGTCCATGTGAATCAGACAGAGAGATATCTAAATTTACTCCAGAGCAGTTGCTGAGGTGCTTACTTTATGCCAAAGGGAATTTTGGAGAGGAGGGAAGCAACTGGACATGAGGACCTTAATTTACCATGAAAGGATGCAAACTTCATAGTCCTAATTAGTTTATAGAAATACGAGAATTTGTTGGAAAGCAGCATACCATCCACCAGTGGTATGTTGTTTCACTGGGAAGCTGCTAAGCTGTGGCAAAATAAGAGGCACAGCAAGGCATGGGGTTGGCACTCCTGGTACCCCCCACTCGGACACGATCTCACTGTCATGCTCTGTTTGTGTGTCTGCAGATGCCTGGAAGTCACTGACAGACAAAGTGCAAGAAGCCCGATCCAATGCCCGGCTGAAGCAGCTCTCCTTTGCAGGTAATAGCCAGTGCCCAGCCCACTTCTGCACGTGTGAGAGTGAGCACATCTTCCTGTTCGGAAGGGCTCGGAGCCTTAGAGGCTCAGTGCAGTCACTGACTGCTTTATGGAGGATAATTGCTTCCCAGTGAAAGGATTGAAAGCTGCTCCATGGAATGCTCCTGTTGTATGTGAGAGGCTGCTGCCTTCTGCTCCAGGTTGGTGCTGTCAGAGTGAGTTTGTGTTGACTGTGCTCTGTTTCTGCTCCAGGTGTGAACGGTTTGAGGATGCTGGGCATTATCCATGATACTGTCGTGTTCCTGATTGAGCAACTGTACGGAGCAAAGCACTGCCACAACTACAAGTTCAGATTTCATAAGCCAGAGGAGGCCAATGAACCTCCCCTGAACCCCCACGGCTCAGCCAGGGCTGAAGTCCACTTGAGGCAAGTGTGAGCTTTGTCATCCTTCAGGTTAATGGCCCATTTGCTCCACTAACTGACTCCATGAAGGGGCATAATCAGCAGATCTCTACAGCACTTAAGCTCTCCGTTAAAAAGAACGTTTGTGAGTTTCACATGTAAATCAGTTATACTGCCTCTAGCATGTTTCTCTCTGCCACTTTGTTGGTGTTGTTTTGTTTAACAAAGACCTCCTGGCTGGTGCTTTCATTCAGGGTTCTCAGAAACTTGGGTGTTGCCCTGGTGCTTAGAAGGCTTTAAGAGGGAACAGACTGGAGAAGGTGTAAAAGGGTCAAACTGTTGTGACAGTGCCACCTTTATCTTCTGACAGTAAAGCAAACTTCCTTTGGTCTCTTTAAATTGCAGGAAATCTGCATTTGATATGTTTAATTTCTTGGCTTCTAAACACCGACAGCCACCAGAATACAACCCAAATGATGAGGAAGAGGAAGAAGTACAGCTGAAATCAGCCCGGTATGAAGCAGGGTTTAAAGTTTTAAAGGGGAAAATAGGGCTACAATGTCAGAAGGAGCTGATGGGCCTTAGTTATGCTCAGTGTTCTTTGTGGTGGTGGTTAGAGCAAATCTAGAGGAGACTCCTAGAGAGCTGTCAGCTGAAGGTGACCACCAGACCAGTCTTCAACTTAATGTTTCTTTTCCTTGCTAATGTGAAACTATCCGAAGAGAATTTGGGCAGGAAAATGAGGAAATTATCTTTCACATGTATATGAAAGCACCATGGTAACTTTGTGTTCTCGGTGGGCTGCAGTGTTGCAGCATCTAGATGATTATATGTTGGAAAGCTTCCCAGATAACACATGGCACAGGCTCTCAAGAGAAGGTTGTCACTCAGCAGGGTTTCTTTGTTCTAGGAGGGCGACTAGTATGGATCTGCCAATGCCCATGCGCTTCCGACACTTGAAGAAGACCTCCAAGGAGGCAGTTGGTGTCTACAGGTACAGTTCTGCCCTGGTGCCACCACCTCTGGTACAGAGGAAGGTGAAATCTGGAAGCCTTCTAGGAATACAGACTGCAAGATTGAGGGGGAAAAAGCAGGTCTGGGGTTGTCCCTCCTCCTTCTCCCTGCATACATTACGTATTTGAAAGGCCATCTTCATCACAAACCTTACTCCTCGCTGGCTCACCTTGGAGGGGCTGAGGCCTGTGTTTGGAGGTGGGCAGGAGGGACCTGGCGTTAGTGTTATGTTATGGATGAGAGCTGGTACCACGGTGATCCCTGTGGTGACTAACCCTTCTTCTGCAGTGTTTGCAGAGCTTCACTTGTACCCTTTGAAACAGTCACTGTTCTTGTCACTTTTTCAGGTCTCCCATCCATGGCCGGGGTCTGTTCTGCAAAAGGAACATCGATGCAGGTGAGATGGTGATCGAATATTCAGGCAATGTCATTCGCTCCATCCTCACTGACAAACGAGAGAAATACTACGACAGTAAGGTGAGTCGTGGGCTTTTGCAGAAGTTCTTAAAGACTTTAGGAGAGCTAGAAAGTGGCTGTGAAGGTAGGGCAGGCTTATTGTGAAAACCACATTCGGAGCACCGTGAATCAGGCTTACAGGCTCCTCGGGATACTTCCATTCCTGCCAGAGCTCTACAAGCACTCCCTGTTTCCTCATGTGGGCTGGGAAGGGTCTTGGTCAAGTCTTGCAGACCCAAAGACTGCAGCGGTGAAAGGATTGAAGCACAGATGAGCGGAGAGAGGGTGCAGTTACCCTTCTGCTTGATGCTGGGTGGCTGTGACGAGCTAGGCTGTCAGCTAGGGTGGCTCTGATCTCACTTCCTGGAGGTAACCTTCTCCCTGTCCTCGTGCCTAGGGCATCGGTTGCTACATGTTCCGCATTGACGACTCGGAAGTGGTGGACGCCACCATGCACGGGAACGCGGCCCGCTTCATCAACCACTCCTGCGAGCCCAACTGCTACTCCCGGGTCATCAACATCGACGGCCAGAAGCACATCGTCATCTTCGCCATGCGCAAGATCTACCGCGGGGAGGAGCTCACCTACGACTACAAGTTCCCCATCGAGGATGCCAGCAACAAGCTGCCCTGTAACTGCGGCGCCAAAAAGTGCAGGAAGTTTTTAAACTAGACCTTCAGTCGGCTGCGAGGGAGCCCCGAGGGGCCGGGGCAAACCAAAGCTTCGTGTGACGCCCTCCGGGGAGGCCAGAGGCAGGAGTGGAGACGGGCCGGGCTCCGGGACCTGGCCGGCAGCTGTTTCTCTGTCAGAGTCCACATCTTCATGTCTCGCATGTGCACACTTACCCTTGTGAAAGACATGGGCGACTGGAGAAGAGCCTCAGCGTGATCGTGTTTTTGCTGTTCTCATTTCCCCTGACCCCAGTGTTTGTTTCTAGCATGAGGCAATGAGCAGGAGATGCTAAGAGAGGGGAGCAAGAGGTCAGCCCAGGCACAGGCTCGAGCATGGGGGAGCGATTGCAGGTCCGTCCTTGCTGGCTTATGGCTCAGAGGGGGCTCTCCTCATGCGAGGGCTCTGTCAGTTCAGTAGCACCGTGTTGGAGTGAGGTTCCCTCCGAGGGCTGCAGCCCCAGCCCCGTGCCCCAAGGACCGCATGTGTCCATCGTCCCTTGTGCTGCAAAACACTACTTGAGAGCCGGCGCGTGGGGGGCTGCTGCATTGCATGGGGCTGCCTTCCTCTGGGAGGGCTCAGCTGGGGCAGTGGGGCAGAGCAGCCCCCAGCTAGACCAAAGGGTTTGGCTCGTGCTTTGCTGCCAAATCCCAGCCTGAGCACAGGGGAATTCCTGCTGTCTTCTGGCAGACAGGGCTTGTGCCAAGAGTTGGGGCGCTGCAGATCTTTGTGAGCAAAGGCTTCCTTTCAGCGGTGCTTTCTCTGGCTGTGCAGAAGGGAAGTGGTCCTCCCAAGTCCTGTCTCCAGCAGCTCAAGGCGTCCCAGGTTTCCATCTCTGCCACCAGGGAGCTAGTGCGAGGGGAGAGCCGGCCTGAGAGCTTGTGTTAAGCAGCGCGTGAAGAGCCGCTGTCACCCTGTCCGGGAGCGCAAGTCCTCCCGCCTGGGCCAGCCCCGAGCCCCCCACGCGTCGATGTTGGGTTTTACTCTGTTCTGTTTACAGTTTAGTATTTAAGGTTTTATAAATGTAAATATATTTTGTATATTTTTCTATGAGAAGCACTTCATAGGGGAAAGCACTTATGACGAGGCTTTTTAAACAGTGGTATTATCCTAATTTAAGAGAATCTCTTTTTAAGGGTTTTTTTAATTTTCCTAGGACGGTTGTAGGAAACGCCGGACCCAGTCCGGCCCTTTTGCCAGAGAGGGGGGTACACTTTATTTTTGGGTTTTTTAATCTTGTTCTGCTTTTTTGACTTTAGTAACCGTTTCCAGGAGGTTTGGCTGGACCTGAGACGTAACTTATGAGTCAGATGGGGGCAGGAGGGAGCATGGCCTGGCTGAGGAGGAGGTGGGCTCTGGCTGAGCATCCCCCTGCCTCTGCATCCTGCCTGGACTTAGAGGGAAAACCGAGATAAAACAAGGGAGCCCTGAGCCCCGACCCCTCTTTGGCTGGGGCGTGCTCCCCATCCGCAGGCACTCTCTTGAAGGCAAATGAATCTTTCCATGGAAAAGAGGAAGCGGGATTCGCCCTCACCCTTCCCTGTGGGTAGGTCAGCAGCCGTCCGGGCGCTGGTGGGTGGGAGTGCAGCTCCAAGACAGGGGAAGGGCTGAGAGCACCTCCGGAGTCCCCTGTGCTTGCAGCAGGGCACCCAAGGCCTCTTCCCGTGACCTGGGACCGCCGCTGGGCGGGTCAGGAGCTGCCGGTTTCGGTTCATTATTGCACTGTGGGGCGAGGACTCGGTGACGGCTGTTGACAGGAGTCGCGTTGACGCTGCATTTGTCACTGAGATGATTTGATGATGCACTGACAGTTTGGGAACGCACATACCTTGAGGAGGCCGACAAGCATGGGCCGGGGCCTCATCCCATGTCCCTGGGCACGGCTGCTCTGGTCTTCCTGTCCCAGTTCTGACGGCAGCGCTGGGTCAGCCCAGCAAAGCCCAAAACTGACCCAGGAGCTGGGCTCTGCTGCCATTTCTCTCCTCCGGGCCTGGATGGCAGAGGAGGAGCATCCTCCCTGGCACATGGATCCTCCTGATCCATCGGCCTGGTGGTGGGCAGAGGCTCCGGCTGGGCAGCGCTGCCCACAGCCACCGGTGCGGGGGGAGCGGCGGCCGTGGGGCCCCTGAGAGCCGAGCGCCGGCACCTCCGGCGGGCCCGGCTGCTGCTGCTTTGCTGCTATTGCCGTTGCGGGCCAGTGGAACTGTACCGCGGGAGCCGCGCTGCGCCGCAGGGCCGGGAGGAGCCGTGGCAGCGAGCGCGTGGGCTCGGCGCCGCTTCCCCGGGTCTGAATGTACATTTTGTGAGGACTGACGCAGATCACGGTATCTGGAAATACTGAAAAACCACAAAAAAAGGACCCTTGGGGCGTTTATTTTCGTTGTCTGTGTTCGTTTCCTAAGGAGAAGCGGGTCACTGCAAAGGGCTGGGTATCTTTCCTTTCTGGTTTCTTTCATTTCGAAGCAATACCAGGTTCTCCAGCGGGACGGTCTCTGTGCGGCATCGCACCATTCACACCCATACTACTGCTCACTCGGCACTCGCCAGGTTTTTATAGCTATAAATACAATATATATAGGAACTACTATAGAAACGCACCGTGTAACGCCGCCTCGTGCAGTATCGGTCCATGGCTTTTAATTCTTAACACTATAGGTAAGGATCGTGTTCCAGTGGCTACCGCCGGCGGGAGCCGGGCCGCGCGGCCCTCTCGCCCTTCTTGTGCCCAGTCGGTTCGTGTACAACTTGGTTTCTTCCTCTTCTTCCTCTTGTTTTGGTTATGAATGTCGGGGTACCACCTGCATATGGGGAACTGTGCTCTGTGCTTTCCTGGTCTCTTTAACGAGGTGCAGTAGCTTTGTCTATCAACCGAGAACTATATTGTGGTGTTTCTTTTATTGAACTTAACAGTCTCTTTAGTAACTACAGGTAGGTGAATAATTGTTTCAAAAAAAAGAAAAAGACAAAAAAAAAGCTCTGCCAAGGCAAGGTCATGTTCTAGAACTGCATTTCTTGCCCCCCGATCATGTATAACGAGCTCTTCTTCTCCCTTGTGTTCTTCCAAGCTTCTGGTTGGGCTGGTTTTTAAAAAAACACAAAAAAAAGAGGAACCGTGTCTAAAGTCCATCAGTGTTAACTCCCTGCCACAGGGAAGAAGGAAATATTTTAACAGTTAAAAAATGCTGAAAGCTCTGCAAAAGACTGAATGTAAAAACAAAAAAAGTGTACATACTTGTAAAAAAAACAAAAAAAAACAAACAAAGGAGTTTTTAAACATGTTTATTTTCTATGCACTTTTTTTTATTTAAGTGATAGTTTAATTAATAAACATGTCAAGTTTATTGCTGCAGAGGGCTGCTCTCCGTTTCTTCTGGGGGGGGGAAGGTGCTCTCCTTGTGCCACGGCTGCTCCTCCTGGGAGAGCCTTTGGGACAGAGGGGTCTGGTGCCCCCGCTCACCGCGGTGGTGTGGCCAGATCATGGCCTGGGGTTGGATGGGGAAGGGGGAAGCGGTGCCACGGGGTGAACATTAACCTGCCCAGGGCCACCGGCCCGCGTCCTGACAGGGGCTCGCGCAGAGGGAGGGCACCATGGCCACAGCGAACGACAGGGCCGTGCTGCAGACCATCTTTAACCCCAGCACCCCCTTCGGGGACATCCCTGGGCTGGACGAGGAAGAGGAGGATGGCACCCAGGAGGAAGGTGAGTACACACTGCATGCGTTCTGGCTGGAAAGGGCAACAGGGTCCCTGTGATGCCGCAGGGTGCATGGGCAGGGGAAGGAGGCTCTGGGGGCTGGGAGCAGCCCCATCCCGATGCCCATGGACAGGGGGGCTTTGGTGCCAAACACTTCCCTGACCATGAGCTCCCCTTTGTGCTGCCACAGAGGCAGCCTTCCCCCCGGAGCTGCTGGAGCAGGTCCAGGACCTGGAGCTGCAGGGGGTGTCTGCTGCCGAGTCGGGAGATGTGAGCACGGCGCTGGAGCGGTTCAGCGAGGCCATCCGCCTGCTGCCCGAGCGCGCCTCGGGCTACAACAACCGGGCCCAGGCCCTGCGGCTGCGGGGCGACGTGGAAGGTGAGCGGAGCGGACGGGTCACGGGTGCCCCCCCCCCCCCAGGCATCCCCCACCCGCCCCAACACCCCTCCCATCCCGGCCAGGCGCCCTGCGGGACCTGGATGCCTCCATCCGCCTGAGCCGGGGCTGCGGCCGTGCCGCCTGCCAGAGCTTCGTGCAGCGCGGGCTCATCCACCGGCTGCACGCCCGCGACGAGGACGCGCGGCGGGACTTGGAGCGTGCGGCACGGTTGGGCAGTGCCTTCGCCCGGCGGCAGCTGGTGCTGCTCAACCCCTACTCGGCGCTTTGCAACCAGATGCTCTGCGAGATGCTGGGGCAGCTCCGCAACCCCAGCAGCACCGCGAGCGAGTGAGACGGGCAGGAGACAGGAACAGCGGGGGGGGCTGGACACGACCTGGCCACCAAAGGAGGTCCGTCTCTGGTGCCAGATCCTCCTGGTGTTGCTCCTCCTCCATCCCTGGCTGGCAGCTGGGATGGGAGGTACCGAAATGCCTCGCTTTGTCTCAGCGCCACTCTACCCCCAATAAACCTGCCTGCATCCCTGGCACTCGGGCTCTGTTTGTGGCGTTGCAGGTGATTGCGGTGCGGTTCTGATGCCTGCAGAGCAGCACATACAGAGAGCAGGCAGCCCTGTGGGCATGAGGTCGGGCTCAGCAGGGTGCTGGTTCCCCTCTGCTCATCCCCAGCCCTGGCTGGGTGGTCCCTGGCCACGCTCGGGGCTGCAGGGCGGGCGGAAGATGCTCGCAGCAGTGCCGGGGACCGCCCCTGCGCCGCACGCTCAGCCCCGTGTGCCGGGGCCCGGAGCCGCACTGCGGGCCATGCTGCAGGTAAGGTGCAGCGCGGCTCTCTTGTCCAGCCCTGCTGCGTGCTGGGATGCCTGGGGCCCAGCGTGGGGACAGCGCCGCATCCCTGCTCCAGCTGCGTCTCCTAGCGCCGAGCACAGCCGCTGCACCATGGGGCATTGCCAGGGCCGGCCGGAGGCTGCTCTTGCCCGACTGCTGCTGCTGCTGGGCCTCCTGGCGTTCTGCTTGGCAGGTGAGGCTGCGGGGGGCGGCTCCAGTGCTCTGGCAGCACGGCAGGGGGATGCTGCTGCAGCTCTGACACACCACGGGGCCTCCGGCAGGGCTGGGGGAGCCGGGCCCCACCATCGATGGGCAGCCGCTGGCAGTGTGCACGCTGCGGGAGGGGGAGAGCCGTGTCTTCTCCTGCCGCGCTCCCCGGCCGGCCCCGGGCGCCATGCTGGCGTGGTACCTCGATGGCCAAAAGCAGGAGGCAAACTGCTCCGCCGTGGGCACCGCCAGCACCCTCACTCTCACCGCTCGGCGCAGCCACCGCCAGCTCAACTGCTCCCTGACGGACCCAGCCTCCGGGCACACCTACAACGCCTCCGTCCTCCTTGATGTGCAGTGTAAGGTCTGCGGTGCTGGCCCTGCTCCAGATGGAGGCACGGGGAGGGTGCATGGGGCTGCTGCCTGGCCAGGGCAGGACTGACCTGGGGCTGCTGCAGCCACAGCAGGGCAGGATCTCACCAGTCCTGTGCAGACACAGCTGATGAGCACTTGCAGCCTCTGGTGAGACAAACCCTGCTCCTGCCTGTCCCCGCTGCCTGTCTCACCGCCTGTGTTTGTTGCCCAGATAAGCCAGAGATCCTGCAGGCAGATGCCCACTACCAGGAGGTTGAGGGCAAGGGACTCCTCCTTGTGCTCTTTGTGCTGGTGGAAGCCAACCCACCGGCCAGCATCACTTGGGTGGACCAGGATGGGCGGGTGATGGCCAACGCCTCAGAGTTCCTCCTCCTGGACACCACACACTACCCGGGGCTGGCTAACCACTCGCTCCGCATCCACCTGGACACCACAGCTGGCAACTTCTCTGTCAGCGCTGCCAACAGCCTGGGTGTCACCAGCACCTCCCTCCTGCCGCCAGGTAGGTGTTGGGGGGTAGGTGCAGCACTGTGGCTGTGCCAAAGGGTGCTGAGGGGGCCACGCTGCCCGTGCAGGTCTGCTGGATGCCCGTGTGGAGCTGCCCCTCCTGGGTGTCGCCGTCGGAGCAGCCCTGGCCCTGTCTGCCCTGCTCAGCCTGGGCTCCTGTGCCGCCGGCCTGGCGTGCCAACGGCCCAAGCCGGTGCCCGGCGAGGGGCAAGTGGGGGGGAGCAGCCCGCTCAGCCGGTGCTCCCGTTGCAGCGGCCCTCAGCTCCCACAGCCCGAGGGTGCACGTCTGCCCCGCCAGACCCGGTCACTGCCACCTGACCTGCACCTCGGCGACCTCACACAGGAGGCCAGAGGTGAGGGCCCGGGTGCCAGTGTGGAGGGACACACAGGGCCACAGGTCCTACCTGGGTGGGGGCTTCATGTATGGCTCTTGCCCCTTTCTTTTCCTGCAGCTTCCCCCAGGGACGCAGGAGCTGGTTCTGGGGGAGAGGAGAGCACGTGGCCGGGGCTGGAGAACTCCCTGGTCCTCAGCAAGCTTGGTGAGGGGGTGCAGGTGGGCGAGTGGCCCCAGAAGCTGTGCTGGTGAAATGCCGGCCTCCACAGCTGCCCCGAAGGGCAGTGGCAATGAGCTCTCTTTGTCCCGCAGGTTTTATCCAGCTCCCAAAGTCTGGGCGCATCTACAAAGTGCCCAGTGTGAGCAGTGAGGAGATCTGGCTGTGAGACGTGACACGGTGCCTTGAGGCAGGGCTGCCCGGCCCCAGGTATGTGCCAGCCCCCGGAGAACTGGGGGTGCCAGGGGCTGTGCCAGGTGCAGGGCACTGACCAGCCCTGGCTGTACCTTCAGCTACGCACCGCGGGTCCCGGTGGCTGCACTGTGAGCCAAGGCATGGTTTTATGTAGCCTGTGTGCTTTAGGAACAGATGCATCAAAGCTTTTTATAGCCAGGCTCAGCCTTGCTGCCAGCACCGAGATTCCTGCTGGGGTAAGGCCAAGCACCAGCCTTGCTTTAGCAGGCTCATGGCCCGCTTGCTGCATGATCCTTGCCATCCCTGCCAGAGCTGTGGCAGATGGGTGGGCACAGGCAGCATGGCAGGGGCTGGAGCGAGTCCTCCCCGCAGCAATAAACTAAACTAAAGTGTCTCTGTGGTGCCACGCTGGTTATTTCTCCTTGGCAGCAGCTGAGGGCCTTAGGAATAGGAAAAGGGGCTCAGTAAGAGGAAGCAGAAGTTTGAGACCCCCAGTGAGCCTGCAGAACGCACTGGGCAGATCTGAGAGTCATGTCTAAGGGTGGAACTTACTCCTGCTTTCTCTAGCACTTGTTGTGTGCACTCAAGGAGCCTCAGCTCTGCAGCACCTACAGCTCACAGGGAGCTTGTCACTGGGAAGAGCTTTTTTAATGCTGAACTCCTTGGGAACAAGTCAAAACTGGAGCCATTAGGCAGCTTCTGCAACAATGCTATGAGTAAAGTCCTACTCTAATGAATACAGAACACTTCAGCTGTGTCTCTGAAGGCAGGGAAGCTCCGGATGTGTTCTGCTCTGCTTCACAGGCTGCTGATAGCAGCAGAGATTGGTCCAGAGGTGAGGGTTCGACATGAAGCTTCAAGTAAAGCTTAACACCTCTGCCTCTGCCGCTTGCGAAGGAGGGTTGGATGGTGGGCTCCTGCCCTTCTTCCCATCAGCCAAGGGCTTGAAATGCTGCAGAGGACAAAATGTGTTAGTGCAAAGATGTGGTGATCGTTCGAGAGTACAGGTGTGTGTGTGAAGCTGCTGCCCCTCTGAGTGACCTGTGGGCTCAGCCACTCCTGCTTTTGGTGGGAAAAGCATTGTGGGCTCATGCTGGACTGTTAACCTCGCAGAATCTCAGGGGCTCCTTGTGCAATGTTGACGTACCAGCGAATCAAGCAGCTTAGAAAATGTTCTTTGGGCCCCCTTGTCTGGCCTCCTACCCCCTCCCAGACACCCACAGCAAAGACAAACATGAGGAGAGAAGCCTTGTGATGCTTCCAGTTGGGTGAGCAGTGCCTCCCTGAAGCTGTACCTGTGAGTTCTTGAACTCGGAGTAGACAGAGAAGAGGATATGAAGAGGCTGGATTCGGCCCTTGTACACAGGGATGTCCAGAATGGCTACAAGCAAGAGCAGAAGCATGTGAGAGCATCTGAGTGCTGCAGGTAAAGACTGAACTTCCCCCTGCCCACTACTACTGGGGCCTTCCCTCACTAAAGACCGCAGGCACCTGAGGTGTGAGTCCACATCCTACTGCAGGCAGCAGAGAATGATCTCGACTTCTCAGGGCTGAGCCTGCTTCTAACAGTCCCTTGCTTAAAGCGAGACAGTGCCAGGGCAGCAGCACACCTGTGCCCTCAGCACAGCCCCTGGCTTACCACAGATCATGTCGACGTACTCGGCCAGGTCACAGCTCATCTCTGCCGTTGGGAGCCCCACCTGGAAAAGGCAGAGCAGTCAGCTCTTTCCCCCTATGGCAAGCATGGCTCTCGGGCCAAGCACAGTGGCCACGAGGAATTCAGGCATGAGGCTGCTCCCCCGTCTGGCGAGGGAGAAATGGGAAGCAGGAACATACCCGAGTGGGCCGGGCCATGGGCAAAGAGCCCGGACTGGAGCTCTTTGGAGGCCCCCGGCTTTCATGGAAGGTGGTTATAACACCAGCACCAAACTAACTCCCAACATACCTTTCCCAAGAGCTCCTCGAATTCCGGTGACCATTCCTGCATCAGGGTCTCTATGTCAGGCATGGGCCTGCCAGGGAAGAAAAGGACATAAACTTCAGGATCACACACAAGTGAAACAGTTTCCTGCTGCTGGGCTGCTGCAGAGGGGAGCAGCTCCCTTTGACTTCTGGACTGTGTCACCAGCCTCCCCGTGGCCTGAGCTGGGGCTGTACACGCAGAGGGGAGCTCACCGCGTGTAGTGGACTGTGGCAGGAGGTTTGCAGCGGTGCAGTTCGTTGATGCTCTCAATCCAGCTCTCAATGGCTTTGCGGTTCTTCTCTGCATTCTCCACACTCTTCACTTTTATCTGCTGCTAAGAACAAAAATACAAACCTGGAAGCATTTCAGGGTGCTTGGGGGCTTCTCTGCAACCCCTGCGTTGGCTTCACATTAACCATGCATTTTCTCTTTCCTAGTGGCACTGCACCAACCGAGGAGAGCCATGGGCAAACAGAACACTGAGGAAAACCAGGTATTGACAACCAAAAGGAAACAAAGCTTCCCTCGAAGGAAACTGAACCAAAGCCTGCACCAAGCCTTGCCATAGACCCACTGCAGTTTAAAACTATGTACTAAAGAAAAAGGTTAGTGTTTTCTGCCTTTAAAGATGAATTAGCAGCTGTGCTGCAACACTCTAGTCACAGAAGTAAGGCAAAATGCAATGTTTTCACCACAGGCAGCGTGCAGCAAGTGCAACCTCACCCTCCCTGACTCACTGTGATGTTGTGCTGCTTGGAGTTCTCTGTCAGCCAAAGGGAGAGCACGGTGGGATCCGACTGCTTGGTTGATGGCTCGTCCAGCACCAGCAGGCCCAGGTTATCAGGGTTGCCGTCGGGACGGGGAACCTGCAAACAAACAGAGGCCCTGTTTCCTGTAGGTGTCTAGAGCAGGGGACATTGGGCTGTTTTAGAGGGACCCTCCCCATGGTTTAAAACCCAGACCCTAAAGGGCATTGGCAGGCCTGCTCTCTGGAGTACGAGTTGATAGTACAGTGCTGCCTGAAAAGCACAAGGGAAATGTGGCCCTGGCCCCAAATTATGCCTGAGAAGTGACTGACAGCTCAGGGGCAGGGCTCCCTGGGCTGTAGGGCCAGGCTTCAGCCAACACCACATCCTGTTTCAGCTCGTGCACAGCACATACAGAGGGAAGCAAATCAACTGTACCTTTAGGAACGCATCAATGTCTCCAACTGCAGGAATAAAGCCTGGGATGAAAGGCTGCAGTCTGTACTCGATCTCTATGGGTTTGGGAGTGTACCTGGGAAAAAAGAGCAGTGCTGTGGCATCAGCTACGGACTGTCCTGCAACACTTGTCCCGGTAACTGACTCCCAGGAGAGCAAGGAGTGAGCTAAACCCCCTTCCACTCACCTCTTGATGTACTCAAAGAGTTCTTTGATTTCAGAAGACACTGGCAGGTAGTCATAATCTGCTATACTAAAGTCCCTAAAGGAAGGTAGAGAAATGCAGGCAAAGATTAACATGCAGTAGGCTGCCTACAAGTGGGAACCAGCACGCAGCTGTGCAAGACCAGCATGAAGGAAGCGGAAACACCGAGGTAGGGAGTCCCCTCTTGCACATGAGAACCACCACTGGGCCCTGTTTTGCCTTGGGCGAGCACTTGGGTGAGTTGCCTGTGATGACAGACTCGTGTAGGGGTGTCAAAGCCAGGTAACTGCTCACCCCGTGAGCGCAGCCCCGTGTTCATCCGAGTCGTTCTCCGAGTCAGTCTCCGAGGAGTCTTCCGAGTCCTCCGAGTCCGAGCCCTCGCTGAGGGTGGCGGCCGCGGCCGACCGAGCCACCGCCTCCTTCTAGGAGAGAGACCGGGCCTCACGGGGCCGCCCTCCCGCCGCCGGGCCGCCCTCCCGCCGCTGCCTACCTTGCTGCCGCTGCCCTCCTCGTCGCTGCTCCGATCGGCCGCGGGATGCCCAGACCAGCGGGAGGCCAGGGGCCGGCCCCTACCCCCTGCCCGCGGCGATCGGGCCCCGGCCGACCTCCCCGCAGCGCCGCCCGCCTGCTCGGCCTCCGGAAGGTCCAAACGCTCGTAGTACGGCTGGTCTTCGGGCAGGCGGGCCTAGGCAGAGCGTGCGGTGAGGCGGCGGCGCGACCCCAGCCCCGGTCCCGGTCCCCCGGCCCGGCGCCCCGCTCACCTCCGCCATGCCGCCCCGCCGCCGTTGCCAGGGCGACGCGCCCGCCTCGGTTGCCCCTGGCCGGCTCGAGCGGCGGAGCCTCCGCGGCGCCCCCTGGCGGGAGGGGCGGCCACGGTCCGCCAACCACGCCCCGCGCGCCGTGCGTGACGGCGCTTCCGGCTGGGGACGTGGCTCGGCGCCGCCATCTTGTGCGGCTGCCCGAGGGACGCGGAGGGACCGAGCGCCGAGCCCCGCGCCGCCGCCGCCGCCATGGTAAGGTCTCGCTCCGCCGCCCATCGCGGGGCACAGAGGCGGGGGAGGGACGCTTCTCGGGGAACCCCCCCGGCTCCCGCCGCCCTCCCGGGCCTGGCGCTGCAGCCCCGGGGCCTGCGGGGCAGAGCTGGGCGCTGCGGCAGGTGCTGCCGCCCGGGCAGGCGGGGCTGAGGCCGCTGCCCTCGGGCCGGTGCGGGCTGATCACGGGAACCGTTCCGCTGCGGGAGGGAGCCGGTCCTGCTCCTTGTACCCCCCAGCGCTGTCCCACAGCGGGTTCGGGCCGCGGGGCTGGGAGGCCGCTCCGTTACGGGGCAGAGCCGTGTGCTCCCGGAGCAGCGAGCCCCCCGGTGCCGCTTACCTTGCACCGTGACCTGTGCTTTGGGGCAGTGCTTACAGAGGGGAGGTTTCGGCCTGACATAAAAGCACTTAGAATGCGTTTGTCCCCGAGCTGTCAAGCTGCAAGTCCCCGAGGCCTTGCACGCTGCTGTCGGCCTGGGGCTGAGGTGGGACTTGGTCTGTTTCTGAGTTCCCAGCACTTGCCTGTTAATAACAGCGGTTGGGGATTTAGGAGCTCATCAGCACAGAAACAGCCTTATCCTGACAAAGTTAAGAGCTGATCTATGAGAGATGTGAGGAGGAAGTCTCGGCAGTCCAAGAGAACGAGAAGACGTGGGCTGGGCTGCAGTCGCTTTGCTGCCTTTGTATTGGTGGTGTGATAATACCTAGAGGAGCCCAGGAGAGCCCTCCAGGGGCTGTGGGTAATGCAGCTGCCACTTCTCCATTTGTGTGGCTTTGCTGTGGATGTGGCCCTCGAAGAACCGCCCCACTTTACAACATGTCTGTGTTTAGTTGTGAGCTGGGGCCAGGCTGACCAGAAGGTCCGTAACGTGGAGCCTCCCCAGTGCACTGGGTGAGTTGTGCCACCTCCTGCTGTGCTTAGGGTAACAGAGCAAAGGAGATGTGAGTCTGCTTTTAGCATAGCACAGTTACCGGTGCTGGTGACAGCAGAAGGCTGAAAGCAGTGGCCAAGGAGGCTGGGCTGGGGTGCGGCACTTGTGAAGCTGGGATGGAGTCGATGCTCCCCTCACCTCCTCCGCAGGTGCTGTTGGCAGCAGCCGTGTGCACGAAGGCAGGAAAGGCCATCGTGTCCCGGCAGTTCGTGGAGATGACGCGCACCCGCATCGAGGGGCTGCTGGCGGCGTTCCCCAAGCTCATGAACACGGGGAAGCAGCACACGTTTGTGGAGACGGAGAGCGTGCGGTACGTCTATCAGCCCATGGAGAAGCTCTACATGGTGCTGATCACCACCAAGAACAGCAACATCCTGGAAGACCTGGAAACACTCCGACTCTTTTCCAGAGTGGTAAGGATCTAAGGATCACTCGCTTGCTGCAGAGCTGCTGCTGTCAGCTCCGCTGGGGGACCAAAGGGGTGATTGCTAAAGTTAGCATTAAATATCCTCTCTATTCAGGGCTCCTCAGGAAATTCGCTAGCCCCAGCGTGTGTTTAGGTTCCTCTGAGTTAGTGCTCCAGAGAAGCCAAGGGGCTGTCCAGGGTATTGTAGTGTAGGAAAACTAATAGTGGCAAAACTTGATCTTATCAGCAGCATAAGAGCAGCTTAACAGTGCAGTGGTCTTGTGGAGGGGCTAGCACTGCTTTGAAGTCAGGGGGTAGTAGAAACAAAGTGTTTACATGGTGTTGTCTACAGATAACCCTTCAAAATGTTTTTTGCTATCCAGATCCCTGAATATTGTCGAGCTCTGGAGGAGAACGAGATCTCTGAGCACTGCTTTGACCTGATTTTTGCCTTTGATGAGATTGTTGCCCTGGGCTACCGTGAGAACGTCAATCTGGCCCAAATTCGGACCTTCACTGAGATGGAGTCGCACGACGAGAAGGTGTTCCGAGCAGTCCGAGAGGTGAGCAGGAGTAACCGCAAGCTGGGTCCCATGTCCGCGCTCCGGGAGATGCTGCTGCTGCTCAGCTTTGGTAGTGGCCCAGAAGTGATTTCACTTTTCTGTACACTAAGTGCTAATCTCTTGTTCCCTTTTGCTTTACAAAGCGTTTACCTGCAGATGCACTTGGTTCCTGAGCAGAATGAGATTGAGATTGCAGAGCTCTGTCAACCTCTTCTCTTTTACTTCAGACTCAGGAGCGCGAAGCAAAAGCTGAGATGCGCCGTAAAGCCAAGGAGCTGCAGCAAGCCCGGAGGGATGCAGAGAGGCAGGGCAAGAAGGCGCCTGGGTTCGGGGGCTTTGGGAGCGTGGCCGTGTCCGGGGGCACGACGGCGACCATGATCACGGAGACCATTATTGAGACAGAGAAGCCCAAAGTGGCTCCAGCGCCTGCCAGGTGGGTGTGCAGCAGGGAGCAAGTGGGCCTCGGGGTCAGCGGAGCTGGAAGCATGTGCCCCACTAAAGGCCCTTTTATTGTTGAGGAGCCATTTGTGGTGTGTCCCACATTAGCATGCCAGAGCGTCTCTGGAGCCTTTGATAGGCAAAGGGCTCCACAACCTGTGTAAGAAAAAGGGGTCCTGGCTACTGTTAACACACGGAACAGAATCCAAACCTGAATTACAACTTTGCAGCCTACATATCAGTTTTGAGCGTGTTCTCCCAGGAAAAAGGCTGCAGAGGTGAAGGTAGTTTTGTTGGGATAGTCAGGTTACAGCACTTGCAGGTAAGGAGGAATCTGTTGCCATGAGCTGACCTGGAGGCTCTTACACCTTTTCTTTAGGCCCTCGGGTCCCAGTAAAGCCTTGAAACTTGGCGCTAAGGGGAAGGAGGTGGACAACTTCGTAGACAAGCTGAAATCGGAGGGAGAAAATATCCTGACTGCTGTAGGGAAGCGCTCCACAGAAGCAGCCAAAGTTCTTGCTCCTCCTGTTAACATGGAGAGGTAGGTACTGCCCTGGCTTTGGAAGCATTGTTCCTGCTGCGTGCTGTGTGGTGCACATGTGGCTTCCTGACCTCGCTTCCTTTCTCATTTTCAGAACAGGCTTTTTCCTGCTTTCAGGTCCCATGTGCTCTCTCGTGCTCTCATTTTAAATGGTGGTGGGCAAAACCTTGGGAAGCGCAGTAGGAAAAAGCGGACAGCTCCTTTCAGTGGGACTTACCTGAACTCGGGTGTACATCCATTCAGCTGAGGTTGGGGGTTTTCCCATGCCTTTTTCCCTCAAATAGCTGAAATTTTTCAGTTCTTCCGACACAGAATTTCTGCCGAATTATGTCTTGGGGTGGCCACGTTCATAGATAATTTTATATATAGCAGTTCAGAAGCCTGTAGTGCCATGAGCTGCGCTCCTGTCAGCAGAGGATTTTTGGGTGAACAGCCCCTTGAGATGCTATATCACAGCTCTTCATGTAGGCTTCCACCCATTGCAGACTCACATCTCTGGAGCTGACCTGCGGAAGCAGCGTTAGCATCTGCTGTGCCCTCTGGGCTGCTCTGTTGGGGCCATCCTGCTCCTGGGAGCTCCGGCTCATTATGTGCAGCCTTCCCTGCTGAGCACTGCTCTCTCATCTGGCCTCTTGGATGCCAAGCATAGCACTTGTGACACCTGCTTTCTGTCTGTCTGTCTGTCTAGCGTGCACATGAAAATAGAGGAGAAAATCTCCCTGACTTGCGGCCGTGATGGAGGGTTGCAGAGCATGGAGCTGCACGGCATGATCATGCTGCACATTGCCGATGAGAAGTTTGCACGGATTCGCCTGCATGTGGAAAATGAGGACAAGAGGGGAGTGCAGCTACAGGTAAAGCCTGTTCAGTGTCCTGTGCTCTCGAATGTGCTTTTGCTCCTCCCCAGGGAATACATGAGCATGTCAGTGTCCCGTGTTCATTCATGTTCAAGTGTGTCAGTGTCCCGTGTTCATTCATGTTCAAGTGTGACAGTGTCCCGTGTTCATTCATGTTCAAGTGTGTCAGTGTCCCGTGTTCATTCATGTTCAAGTGTGTCAGTGTCCCGTGTTCACTCATGTTCAAGTGTGTCAGTGTCCCGTGTTCACTCATGTTCAAGTGTGTCAGTGTCCCGTGTTCATTCATGTTCAAGTGTGTCAGTGTCCCGTGTTCACTCATGTTCAAGTGTGTCAGTGTCCCGTGTTCACTCATGTTCAAGTGTGTCAGTGTCCCGTGTTCACTCATGTTCAAGCCATCTCAATACATGAGTTGAGAATGGGAGTAGTCTCTGCAGATGTTAGCGCAGTAGGGCCAGCTCACACTAGAAAGATTGAAGTTCAGTTGAGAAATCCAGTCTCATGCCCTTATCTCCCTGCCCTCGGTGCCTTATCTGCCTGGTGGTGCACATTGTTGTGCCATCTGGTCACACTTGGACCTTGCAGCAGCCTGGTGCGTTGCTTGGTGCTCCTTCGTGTGATGTGAGCTTTAGTTGTGGAGTGGGAGAATTTAGTGTGGAGTCCTGTGCTGATGAGAAATGAATTTGTTACCTCTTGGGGTCACCTGTGTGCCACCACTGCTGTACTGGAGGCAATTGCTGGACTCCACAATTGCAGCCAGCGATAGCAGCTCGGAAGATTATGAAGGGCACATCCCCTTTCTCCCATTCTGTGTGGCCTTACAGATGCCTGGAGATGGTGCTCCTTTGATACACTCTTTCGCACCCTCCCTCCTCCTCCTTGCTGTGAGCTTGCCTGTATATGGCTGGCTTATCTGCTGCTGACTTATACACTAGGAGGTTCCTTACTGGCACATCTCATGAGGGAGTTCCTAACAACGCTCCCACATGTGCTGCTTCAGGTGGAAGACAAGATCAAACCCAGTGCTGACTCCTGTCTTTCTAGCATAACTTGAAGGTTGACTTGCAAAAATCCTCTGCTTCTGCAAAGCTGCTTATGGAGAGAGCATTTAAATTGAGTTTGGCTGCTGATGTAATGTGTTAAGGTTGTGAAGGGAAGTAGGATTTTTGTGGTTTCAGGGTGTTCCATGCAGCATTAGGTTGGTTTTTCTTCTGTTGTGGGTCTTCAGGATGGCATTTGAGGTTTTAAGAGCCGTTAAAGTTGCTCTCTAGGTGTCGGCCCAGGACATGCATTGCTGGCATGTCTGGTGCAGTGGTGTGTGTTCTGGGAGGAATGCCAGGTTGATAAGCAGGCAGATGTCTTCCAGCTGGGCTTCTGAACCAGGAGCAAAACTGATGTGCGTCAAGTAGAACAGCCTGGGATGTGTCATCCTCCCTTACTAGAGCCTGCGTTGCCTACCAACAGTTCTGTGTTTAGGCTCAGAGTTGGAGCCTGGGTGTTTGTTCCCCTTTCAGACTCACCCAAATGTGGACAAGAAGCTCTTCACTACAGAATCGCAGATTGGCTTGAAGAACCCAGAGAAGTCATTCCCTATTAACAGCGACGTGGGGGTGCTGAAGTGGAGGTTGCAGACCACGGAGGAGTCCTTCATTCCATTGACAAGTGAGTGCAAGTGTGCACCTGGGGGATCGTGTGGAAGAGGCTGATGTGCTTTATGTTGCAGAGAGACCTTAGAACAGCTTCTGGTGCCTAAAAGGGGCTGACAGGAAAGCTGAAGAGGGCTTTGGACAAGGGCTTCTAGGGACAGGACAAGGGGGAATGGCTTTAAACTGTCAAAGATTCAGATTTGGTATTAGGAAGAAGTTCTCTACTGTGAGGGTGCTGAGGCGCTGGCACAGGTTGCTCAGAGGAGCTGTGGCTGCCCCATCCCTGGCAGCATTCAAGGCCAGGTTGATCGGGGCTTGGAGCAAGCTGGTCTAGTGGAAGGTGTCCCTGCCCATGGCAGGGGATTGGAACTGGGTGTGCTTTAAGGTCCCTTCCAACCCGAACCAGTCTGGGATTCTGTGATCCATGGGCTGCCAGCTTGTAGTCAGCCTCCAGCAGCTGGGCTGCCTGGAGTGTGCCACCACACTCTGAGATGAGATGCTCGAGATGTGTTCCCCTGGATAGTGCCTGTTCTTCGTGGCATGTGTTTTCTGTCATGTTCTTAAAGAAAAGAAAAAGCTTTTATTTAAGTCAGGATTTCTTGGGGATGACTTTGTGGTGCCTTTTGGGAGCCCATGTGGTTCACTCACTGTTTCTGTGCCCTCAGTTAACTGCTGGCCATCAGAAAGCGGCAGCAGTTGTGATGTTAACATTGAATACGAGTTGCAAGAGGAGAGCCTGGAGCTGAACGATGTGATCATCACCATCCCCTTGCCGTAAGTAACACTCCTTGTCCAGGCAGCATTACCACACCTGCCTGGATCCCATTGCTTCCCTCCCCTCCCTGGTTTGTGGGTCTGGACAAGCACTTCCTTAGGCCTGTGCAGCTGGGCTGTTGTAACTTCCTGTGGCCTGTTCTAGGTCTGGTGTCGGCGCTCCAGTGATCGGGGAGATTGACGGTGAGTATCGCCACGACAGCCGGAGAAACCTCCTTGAGTGGTGCCTGCCAGTGATAGATGCCAAAAACAAGAGCGGCAGCCTGGAGTTCAGCATAGCAGGGCAGCCAAATGACTTCTTCCCAGTGCAAGTCTCCTTCATCTCCAAAAAGAACTATTGCAACATACAGGTATGGTCGCTGCTGGTACTCCGTGGGTGGGATGTTGCCACTCTGCTTCTCCAGGCTGCCTTGGCCATGGCTATAAGTGGCTGTGTGGTGGCCTCTTGTGCGCTGCTGCTGCTCGTGGTGAAGGCTAAGGTGTTGGCATGAAGTTTCCTCTGTGTTGGCTGGGTTTGGGGTGCCAGTGGACAACACTGGCAGCTTCAGCTCCCCAGAGCTGATGGGCCATTTGGTCTGTGCCTTTGTGACTCTGGTAACCACTAATTCCCCTCAGACTTTGATAGAGAAACTGTCAGCCTTTGAGCCAAAACATGTATCTCTGTCTCTTGCTCCATCCCTGGCAGTGTTCAAGGCCAGGTTGGATGGGGCTTTGAGCAACTTGGTCTACTGGAGGGTGTCCCTACCCGTGTTATGGGGTTGGAACTAGATGGCTTTAAGCGCCGTTCCAGCCCAAACTGGTCTGTGATGCTGTGCTGCTATATGGCGTCTGTTTGTCCCTCCTGAGCTGCACCTAGTGGCCGCTGCTAACTTTTAGCAGAGAGGCAGCTACTGCAGAGAACCCTTCCCCATTTCCAGCTTTCCTGAGAAGAAAGCTTTTCCTGCAGTTTGAAAGCACAGGGTTGCCACTGTCCTCGCGAGCGGCCCGGTGCCGGCGCTGCGCTAACTCTGCCTCTTGTCCTGCAGGTTACCAAAGTGACCCTGGTGGACGGGAACAGCCCTGTCAGGTTTTCTACTGAGACCACCTTCCTGGTGGACAAGTACGAGGTGCTGTAACGCGCCGCAGCGCAGGCAGCTTTTTTAAATCTAAGAAAAAAAGAAAAAGAAAAAAAAAAAGAGGCCGCAGTTGATTGTGAATGTTGGGAATGTGGGAATGCCGCAGCCCCCCGCGGAGGAAGACGCGTGGCTCTGCCGCCTGCCGCGCTCCCAGGGCACGGACACTTTTGGCAGAGATTTGACGTGCTCACAGGGGGAAAGGCTACCAATTTCTTTGGCAGATTTTCCCCGGCCGGCAGGAAAGCGCCACCTCCACCGCAGGGAGCCTGCCTTTGACCTGGAGCCGCCTGGAGCCCAGTCCCAGCGCCCACCAGCCATCGTCCTCTCCCGGCGAAGCATCACGCGCCCATCCCTTGGTGCTGCTGCCATTTTAATTTCTCCTCGACCTTCAACTCCTGTTGGTGAAAGCTGGCATTAAGATGACGTGCGTGGGGTGCCTGGCTCTTCCAGACCCTCCTGTCTGGTGACAGCAGAGCAATTTGGCTGCAGTTCTGAGTGAGGGGGTCTGGCAGCGGAGAAGGTCACAGTGCTCGGTCCTTCTGCCCCACACGGTTACTGCTGCCCTTGCAGCTGGGCTCACCTCTGGCTCAGAGAGGGCTCCATAGTGGCTTAGGCCGCACTTTGGCATCTTCCTGCTGCTGATGGAGAGCGTCCAGAGGGACTGTCCCTGTGCACAGGCTCACTCTGCTGCAGCTGCTCTTGGGCCAGGCTTTGGAGGTGGTGTAGGTTAGAACCAGCTGCATGTCCTTCCTGCAGCTCTTTCGGTGCCAGGGGAAGGCCTCGGTGCACGGAGCTGTAGACGCTGGGTTGCCCGGGCTGCCCCCATGGTCACAGAAAGGGAGCGCTCTGAAGGCACACGCACCCCGAGCGCATCTCTGTTCCCTGGGGGCCTCTGCCGAAGAAGTTCGTGGTCTCTCCTCTGTTGGCAGCACCCGGGAGGGAACCATCCCTCATCCCGGCCCTGGGAGGGTGGGAGAGCAAACCCTGTTCCTAGGAAAGCAAAGTAGGTGGCAGATCCCACTAGCTCGGTCCTGGTGGAGAGCTGCTTTTCCGAGTGATGTTAAAATGGAATCGAGGGTAGTTTGGAGCTTTTCCTTCTTTTTTTTCCCCTGGAATTGGTTGGAGGGTCGCACTGAAGCCGAGCCGGGATCCCCTTTTGTAACCCTGTACTGGCCTAGGGACTAGAGCACATTCCAGTGTACACAAATACGAGTCTTTAACCCAATAAAGAGTTCTGTCGGAGGAGCTGGCTCTGCCTGCGGCGGTCCTTCGGGCTCAGCCCTGCCGGGGGTGGGATGGGGCGGGACGGGGCGGACCCGGAGGCGGCTGCCAGCGGCGGCGGGACCGGAGGAGCGGAGCGGAGCTGAGGTGAGCGGCGGCGAGGAACGGGCCGGGCTCGGGGCACCGGGGGCGGCTCGTGGCGGGGGGACCCCACTCGTGCCCGGTAACCGGGCTTGCCGGGACCATTCCCCCCCAAGGGCAACGCGTTGGGGTACGGGGAGGGGCCTCTGTGTCTGCGCTGGGACATGGGATGTGTGCGGGTGCCACTGCCCGCCCGGGGGCTCCCAAGAACGGGTGTGGGGAAGGAGCTGCAGGCAGGAGACCAGGAGAAGCCTTCAGCCGCTGTGGCACGTCTGGGGGCACACGGGTGGGCTGGGACCTGGGTTCTGGGGTCCACATCACGTTGGGTTTGTCGGTGTGGGAGCCCTGAGAGCATCCATCCCCACGTGGGAGGCTGGACCAGGCGCTCCCGACCCCGAATCCCACCGGGATCGTGGGCGGCCGGAGGCGGGGATGGCGCTTGGCCGGAGCCTGCCCCCGCTTGTCCCCGGCTCTTCTCGGGGAGCCTGGGAAAGGCGCTGGCCTGGCCGGACCCCGCTCCGCAGCGGGACCTTGTTTACTCCGGCTTCCTGACGCGCTCTCGCCGCGGGTCCTGCGCCGCTGCCAGGAGGCCCGAGGAATTTGGCAGCCGCAGGAGGAGCTCAGCTGCTGTGCATAGGGCGCTGCGCTCTGGCCCTGCTCCCGCAGCACCCATCCGTCCCCGGGCACGGGCATTTGGGTCTGTGCGCGGTGCCAGCGCTGTGTGTGCGGGGCGGCAGCGGGCAGGGTGATGGAGACGCGGGTCTGAGTGACCAGGCGGTGCTTGCTGATGGCAGGACACCAGCAAGGACCGGAGCGGTGCCCGTTTTGGAGAGGTGAGGCTTCACCCCTGCTCCTCTCCCAGTGAATCTAGGGCTGGGTAACAAGACTGTGCCAAGGACCACTTGTAGAACTCGGTGCTGTGGTTTCCCTGACCATGCTGGGGTGGGCAGAGCCACGTGCTGATGTTGGGCTTGGTGCTTGAGCTCTGTCCGTGATCAGGACCACGTACGGAGCTGGTTCGTTGTGGGGAGCACTGGGAGCAGGAAGCTGGGCTGCACTCCCTGCCTGACCCAAGCCCACTCGGGCATCCCCCAGCACGCAGAGAGCCAGAGGCACGATGCCGGCAGAGCTCAGCCGAGTGCAGCTGCGCTGCGGAGGAGCGGGAGCACTTCCCGGGAGCGCTGAGATCAGCGGGCGCGGCCGGGATTCCTCCGCTCCCTCCGGAGCCGTCTGGCAGCTGATTTACGGTGATGTTGTTGCCAGGGGCGTTGCGTTGTCCCAGCAACCGCGAGGCAGCCCCCGCTGCAGCCCCTCGCCTGGGTGGGATGGCGCCGGCTCGATGGGGGGCAGCCCCAGGTCTGGAGGAGCAGGCTCCTCGCTCCCCTCCAGCTTTGTGCTGGAGATGGGCTCCCCATTCCCAGCTGCCGGCGGAATGACCGGTTGTTTACTGGAGCGGAGGGTGTGGGAAGGGGTAAGCGCTCCCTAAGCGCGTTAGCAGATGGGGAGCAAGCAGGCAGCCAAGTTGGATGGAGGCTGCAATGCTCTGCGGTGCGCGCCCGTTAGCTCGGCCTTTCTGGCTTCCTCCTGTGACTCACCCAGCCATGAGTGGGGAGGAGAGGCTGTGTCCCGGGATGCCGTGTGCCTACCCCTGGCACGCTGCATCCTTGCATGGCTGGCACGGCGAGGGATGCATGGCAGGGTGTGCCAGGCTCTGCTCCGCTGCACCGGCGTGGCCCCTGTGTGACCGGGGGCTGCTCATGCCCTGCCTGCGCCCCAGCCGGTAGCACAGGGGCCGGCTCCGCGCTCTGCCCACCCCACCGGCTGCTGTGGGCAGGTTGAGTCCCGGCGGGCGGCCGCGGGGCAGACCCTGTGCGGTGGGGGCAGGCGGGGCGCGGAGGGGCAGGGGAGCGCGGGGGTGGGGGGGCAGTGCCGCCCGTCCGGCACCGGCGGGGGCCCCGCGCTGGGCGTCCCCCAGGTGAGGCCTCTGCCTGCGCCCCGGGAAGAAAGGGGCTTTTGTCCTCGGGGAGGCCGGGCTGAGCGGGCAGCGCCGCGCGCGGGGGGACGGCGGCCGGGGGCTGTTTGGCGGTAACCGAGCCCGAGCCCTTGGCATTTGCTGCCTTCGCCGCTTCCCACGGCGGGAACAAGCGACGCGTTCTGCAGGCGGCGGCGGGAGAAGAAAGGCCGCCTTGTCCGCCCCAGCGCTGGGGCGCCGGCCGGGGCAGCCGCGCTCCCGCCCCGCATTCCGACGGCAGAGCCGGCTGGAGAGGGGCTGCACCCCCGAGGGACGGGCACGGGGACGACCGGCGTCCCTGGCGCAGTGAGGAGCCAGGTGAGGGGCTCCGGCGGAGGGTGATGCTGGGGGGCTGGTGCCCGTCAGTGTTGGCGTCGGGGAGCACCCGGATGCCAGGGCCGCTTCCCGGGGTGCCTGTGGAACGAGGGGTGCTGGGTGGAGCGAGTTTGGGCAGCGGGAGTGGGGGTGACCCCCTGAGCGTGGGGCTGGGGTCCCCCAAGATGCCCACCCAGCTCCGCCAGCACAGCCGTGCTGGGAAGGGGTTAACGCCGGTGCAGGATCCCACCCTGGCCCCGCTCCCTTCCTATGCAGCCGCCTGGCCCCTCCTGGCTTTTCCTCCTTCCCGAACACTGTGGCTCGGCTTGGGTGCCAGCGGGGGTCAGGGGCTCGGCGGGGCTCTGGGGTGTCCGGATGCTGGGGAGCGTGGCCCCCCGGTGCCCGGGGGACATGGGCACCCCACCACGGAGGGTCTCGCCCAGCACCAGGACGAGGTGGCAGGTAAGGGAAAGCAGGGTCCTGCCCCTGCAGCCAGTGGGCGGCGGGGAGGTGTTCCTGGGGTACCGCGTCCCCACACCCCCTCGCAGCCGAGCTGTCCCCACCCCGCGTGGGGCGGCCGTGGTCCCCCCGGAGCCCTGGCTGTGGGGCGGGCGGCGCTGGTGTCGCACGGAGCCGCGCGGGCTCTGCCCCAGCCCGGATCCCACGCCTGGTGTTTTCCAGCTCCTCATTTTTTCCGCCGTGTGTCAGAGCCGCCCGCTCGCCCCCGCAGCCCAGCGCGGCTCTGGCCAAGCCGGGGGGGTCCCTCGGCCCGCGGGGTGCGGGGCTGGCGGTGCAGGGGCCGGCGCTGCAGGGAGCCGAGCCCAGCGCTCCCCCCCCGGTGTCCCCGGCTGTCCCGGCACCGGGGTGCCCCGGGCAGTGGAAGCGCTCCCCGGTTCGGTGCGGCTGCCCCGGCCTTCCCGGGAAGGGTTAAGCCGCGCTCGGCCGGCGCCGGGCGGAAGGGAGGGACGTGGGGAGCAGCAGACGGTAAATTTAGTAACCCCGAAGCATCGCCTGGGCTGCGACTGTGGCGTGAGCACCGGGTGACGGAAACGGTTCCTCCCGGGGCTGCCTCCTGCCTGTGCCTCCCGTGGGCACGGCTGCCAGCGTGCAGGCAGGGACACGGCGCACTCAGCTGGGCTCTTGCACCCCGAGGTGCTGCTGCACTGGGCTGCACAGGAGCAAAGGGAGGTCTGTGCCTGGGGTGGGCACTCGGTGTGTCAGGGGTTAGGCAGATGTTGCTGGGCACAGCTGGATCCTGTCCTCTTGAGTCCTCATCTGTCAGTGGCAGTTGGGGTCTGGCTGCCCGCTGCTCTCCGTGTTTGGTGTGTGCATTTCCTACACCAGTTCCCCAAAACCGAGCCGGTATTCTGGCTCCTTCTGCTGCCATGTCCCGTCCTGACGCTTAGAGTATGTAGGTGTGCTGGGGGATGGGGACTCGTGCATCACCGGGCGGGATGCTCACGGCTTTGGGCAGCTGGAAATGGGAGCTCAGGAGGGGAATCCTCACGGTGGGAAATGCTGGTCTGGGATGGGGTTTGTGAGGCTGCATGGTCACCTGGATGTGCTGTTTC